AGAAACAACGAGAAACTAGAGCGGGATGCACACGCCTCGAAATGGCTTAGAAGGTCAATATACTGAGCGTCTGAGAATAATCCACATTATTCGAAGTTTGGCAAGATGGTTAGATTGTTAGCGGCTTCCCTAAACGTCTCGACAGGTTTGGGTCCTTTTGCCATCACGAGAGATCGACAGGAATACGACATGTCATAGTGTGTATATAAATGAAACAATAGACAAAGTGAAACCCCAGAAATTATAAATGGAACCAACAGTTTAGAAACAATGATACTATGCAGAAACAGTGAATCGAGAAAGAATGGAAACAGTATCAGAGATACAGTGCAACTGCTCTCACGTTAATATATGTTTATATTTGTAATTTTATAATATATGTGTATAGTATTAATGTTTACAGCCTTGAGCAAATGGAACACTTTCATCTCAACAAATCGCACACACAGACTTACCACTCTGGTATTATATATTTTGAAGCTGCTCCAGCAACCCGCCGCATAGTAGTCAAGATGAAGATATTTGTAGAGGTCCTTGATAATACTCAGAAAATGCGCGCAGTATCTTGAGGCCATTTTGTTGATTAGTATGTTCACTCTGTAACAAAGGCAGTTGATGAAAGTGTTTCCTGGTACCAACACTTCCACCTCTACATAAACAAAAATTATATTGTAATAACATGCTTGGTTGGTGAAGAAAATGTTTTAGAATCCTAGAGTGCCGGGAAAATGACTTAAAAAACCTAGTCAGGCATTCACACAAAGGCTGATGATCCTAGTAAATGTTCACTAGTACTGTAGAAACACTTGCTCTTAGTCTTCTACATAAATGAAAGTGTAAATTGGTCACCTCATCAAATCTACCGCAACCAAGCCTGGGTAAGCTGAACTAATGATATTTCGCTCAATAATAATATAAATGTACTAACAAGGTAAGGGTATAAGATAAGGCATAAATAATAGTATACAAATATTATCCCTATAACAGAAGAACTCTCAAAGTTATAAATCTTTTGACAATCCTGATTTAACAGTGTTCTAATCTTCAGAGATACACTAAGCTATATCTCTCACTACTTTAGCACGGGCATACAATATCCTAACATAACTATATCAATGTCTCATGGGCTATTCATGCCTGTGCCACCTCTTGGGACGCTTAATCTTTATCAATCAATCAATATCAATGTCAAACACCGCATGTCATACTTTTCGAATTAATAATGCAAGTCTCGAGAATTTTAGCTACATCAAATTGCAATTTACATTATAAATAATCAATTTTAACTGGCATTTTGCAATGCGTGAATAATATTAACAACAAGAGTTACCCTGCATATCATTGCACTAGACAAACATGTATTGCCTCATATGCAAGCAAAGCTGTGAACATTTTCCTCCACTAAGGCATCAATAGAACGTAACAAAAATTACAGCATAATTCAAGTTGATACATGTCTAAATGTCAGAAAAAATAATGTCACCTAAAAATGTCAGAAAATTAACTCACTGACGAGCTCTCACGTCTGTCACGAAATGTCGCTCATATAAATTTATTTAATCCCCAACAACTTAGGAAAATAAGTTAGTTACGCCCATGACAACTGTTGGCCTCTCATCATAACTGCGGTAGGAGGGAGGTGGAAGGATCTGAACCAGCCCATTGGTATCACACCCTCACACATTAATTCAGGAGTGTTCCCTGGTGAATATTCGGATGCTCTCAACACTTGTTGCTTACTAATGTTCCATCTTCGTTTGGAAAGATCCTCCTTGTTGAGAATGGGCTGCTTAGTGCAACATCCTCCTAAAATGATAACACTTACGGCTGTAGGTAATGAATTTCCCAATGGTGAACATTCTAATTGTAAACTGTTAACAAGAGCTGGGACACACACTCCAACACTATATCTGATTATCTTGTTATAAGTGATTTCAGACCAAATGGTATGCGGTAGTTTGAGCTCTAATTACTCCATACACTCAGGCAAATTGGAAGATATTCTTGTGCTGTACCCAGATTTTGCTAGCGAAGGCTTATAGATCAGTATTACATTTCATATTCTCTCTCGATTCCATGTACGACTAACCATCCTGCGAGATGAGGATATTAGATGAACTTTTAGCTAGTTTTTGATCTACACTGTAATCTTTCATACAGAATAGGGTAGCAGCACCTTCTTGTGTATACCTAAGTTTGTTAACAACTAAAAAAAAAAATACTTGGTCGCAAGTACAAAAATGGCCGCTTGCAGCCAAGAGTGTTCACTTTTTGTACTATTGTTTTTGTACAGGGTACGAAAAAATAAGCCAAAAACATTAAACATTCCTGTGTCTAGTATAGCACATATGTATCATATTGTGCTTTAAGATAGCGCATATTCTCGACAGGTTAGGCTAGGGTTTTTTTTAAGTTACATTTCTAGTTTTATAGTATGCCCTCCAGGCTAATTCAATAGTACCTAACGTGAAATTTTGGGGGTCCAACATTCATTTTTTGTATGCAGACGAGGAGTCACAATAACGTGGCTGAAATATATTGTGATTGAAACACAATCGACTTGAGAATGGTCCAGGAAGGACCGAAACGTCGTCGTCTCTTCACTTTCTAAGTGTATGGTTTGGTCAACATCATTTTTTGTACGTTTGACCATATAGCTGCAACAAGTACTATTATTTTAAGAGGTTGGGCTGCTTAGCGAGTTTCTTGAGGTTATCTAGAGATGATTTCGGGGCTTTTTAGTGTCCCCGCGGCCCGTGACCGCTGACTTAACACCCAGGTACCTATTTTACTGCTAGGTAACAGGGGCATAGGGTGAAAGAAACGCTGCCCATCGTTTCTCACCGACGCCCGGGATCGAACCCGGGACCACAGGATCACAAGTCCAGTGTGCTGTCCGCTCGGCTCCCTGTTTTGGGAGTTTGGCCACATCTTTTACAGTACTAACACAACTGGAACGAGAGCGTGAATCAGTGTGCTCAGAAGTGCTTCCAGATGCTGACCTGCTGTAGCATACTTAATTAATATTAAGCACCCGCAAGATAACGTAAGTTGTTAAGGGTTGACAAATGTTAATCTTGTTTGATAAGCTGTTCACTTGAGACAGTTAAGCAAGTCCCAGCTGTGACTGTGTACAAGTGACAGGGGAAAACAGAGCGGGTTTTCTTCCTATTGGGAAATGTTGTACATGCTGCTATGGCGGTGTGTCTACTAACAAAATGAGTGACTCTTCCCAATAAACTCGCCCCTCGGGGTCCAAACTGAAATATTTAGGCACGACCAGACAACGCCTCGCCCAACAAGGACCATAATCTACCTACATTAGACCACTGTACAAAACTGCAGCTGCCATTCAAACCGGATGGATGGTCACTCCCAATCTTGCATAATACCTTCTAGAAGTAAGTAATTATCAAAGAAGGCACCAAGCCGGGAAGGCTATGTAGCACCATCTACCTTGTAGAAAAACTTCCATACAGTTGGAATTGAATTGAATTGAACTATCAGGGGAGGAAAGCGCCAAGCCATTATGACTACACAGCACATAGCACTGGGAAGGGATCAGGATAATGATTTGGGATGGGACGAGGGGGAAGGAATGGTGCCCAAACACGAGTGGACGCTCGGGGATTGAATGCCGACCTGCATGAAGCAAGACCGTCCAGCCCAAGTGGTTGCAGCAGGTGTTCTCATGACAATGAATGATCGCTGCTACTCACATTCTTAATTCGGACCAATACACGGGGACTCTTAGTGGTCGAAGACGCTAAGGAACAGAGCTGTGAGGGTCAAACATCCACCTCGCATGACGTCTGGGCGCTCACTGTCGGTCACCGGTGACCGGTCCACCCAAGGGAGTCTCGTGCGAGTCAAATTCATGAAGCAGTTACGCAAGCACTTACGAACGTGTACATCTTTCCTCAATCTTTGACGGCTTTGATTACATTTATTAAACAATTTACAAGCATGAAAACTTACCAATCAACTGCTGTTATTGTTATAAACAGCCTCCTGGTGCTTCGGAGCTCATTAACTGTTTAATAATTGTAAACAAAGCCGCCAAAGATTGACAGAAGATGTACATGGTTCGTAAGTGCTTGGGTAACTGCTTCGTGAATTGGTGCTTGATATACCAGGTCATGTGACCTGCAAAGCCTCGTTGCATCTCGTGACGTAAGAGCTATACCAGGCCCCCATCTTGGTTATCAAAATAGTACAACAACATTTAAAATAGCCTACTTAGGAACATATTATGAAAATTTATACATTCTACTTTGAACTAAATATTCCTTGGAAGTTCTATATTCAGGCTAATGGGAGTGTATGGCCCACAAACATGCCAGTATCAATAATGCTCCCATCTCTGTCACTAAGAGCTGCTGCCTGCTCCCAGCCCTGCCACTGAGAGCTGCTGCCTGCTCCCAGCTCTGTCACTGAGAGCTGCTGCCTGCTCCCAGCTCTGTCACTGAGAGCTGCTGCCTGCTCCCAGTCCTGTCACTGAGAGCTGCTGCCTGCTCCCAGCTCTGTCACTGAGAGCTGCTGCCTACTCCCAGCTCTGTCACTGAGAGCTGCTGCCTACTCCCAGCCCTGCCACTGAGAGCTGCTGCCTGCTCCCAGCCCTGCCACTGAGAGCTGCTGCCTGCTCCCAGCCCTACCACTGAGAGCTGTTGCCTACTCCCAACTCTGTTTATCCTATGTTATTAGTCTGTGAGAAGACATTACCATCACTAAATTGAAAGGAATGTTATAAGTAAGCATTCTACCACCAAGTAGGAATGGTGTTAGCCCTTATTCCCAACAAATGGAGAATAATGCCAGCAGTCCAATGAGCCACAAGGTCAAAGGAAATTCACAATATTCAAAATCTAAAGCAAGGATTCTACATTTTTTTATTATATAACTTAATCATTCTTGTCTGCATTAAGAAGTTATTGAATGCAAGAGTGTACAATAGAGACAGATGATGAGACAAAAAGGTAAGGAACAAAATAAACATTATCAAAAAAAGAACATCTTGATGTTTAATGTTAATGCTGCCCGAGGTATACATGTTTATTTCTAAAATAAAACATTTTTGTAAATATAACCTAAGACTTAACAATTATATAATATGAAAGATAAGGGTAAAGTGCAATAGCACACTGATCAGTGAAATAATAACCCACTACAGTACAGTATTAAGAAAACACAAGAAATATAAATTAGACATTTCAGTCCCATGCCGGGATCCTCTTCAGCAGGGAGAGGGTCCCAACTTAAGAATCAAACATCATCCCACATCTCTCTTGTGTTTTCTAAGTAATAGATTATTATTTCAACGTAAGTCATTTTTGTATACTGTGGTCATCATATATATATACTGTATATGACAAATATAGCTTTATTTAACTATCCCATTACCTACCCCAATATGATATAAACCTGGATATATCACATACAATCTTTCTTATGAGAACAAATAAAATATATCTATACATTTATGCACTAAAACAATGACATAACAGTTATATACACTGACATTTAAAATATAAGTTTTCAGAAGAGACTGTCTTCTACTCTGGATGGAAGTCAAATACATTTCCTAAAACAAATATGAAATGATGATCACCGGAAGTAAATGCGAAGACAAATCTAGACACTATCACAAATTAGTTCTTGGATGCATGCTTCCTAGCCAGAGCAATGTGATGGTGAATATTTGCCATGGCTCTCTTGACTGTTTCTTCACTCACTGGCTCACTATCATTCCCAGTTTCATCAGCCTTAAGGTCTTGCTTACGTGTGTGGCGAACTGGAAAACAAATTGTTGTATTAGCTCTTGGTCAGATGTAATCTTACAATGCAGCTGTATTAAGAAGAGTAAATTTAGATTTAAGTTTTGAGATAAATTACTACCGTATAGCAAAGCCTGGTGAAACATAGTCAATTGTGTTAAATGTGACTACACTAAATAACATGATTACTGAAGTATGTAAACAATACAATATAGAGTATGTGTGTGAATATGTGTACTGCTAGTATATCTTAGAAATCAATTATACTGAATAATAACCATAGGGGTCTAAAAAGTCCCAAGTCATATATATAAAAAAGAAAACTTTATACAAAAGGATTAAATAACTATGCTCTTATCCAATTTAAGATAGCATTCCTTCCCATAGCATTCCCTTCCATTTATATAGCATTTTTAATAATATGATTACAATTGTGCAGTTTAATATAGCTGCTGGAACACCCCCCCATCCCCCGCCGCCCACACACACACACACATGACAGCTTACCATATTGTTACTTCAAGTACTGTAGACGAATTACCTGTGATGTACTCCAGCTCCTTCGATGACATATGTTTTAAGTGGTTCAACTCTTGCTGTGCAATCACTCCCACATGATAGCTCTTACTCTGAATAAAACACGTATGTAACATCAAACACAATTTATATAATATTTTTAACATTTTAAAAAATAAATCTAAATGTACTAAATATTAATACAATTTGTCATTGAATGCAGTTAAACAATTATGGCAATTCCTATACAAGAAGAAATAAATGTACTTCCAGCTAGCCATGTTGCAAAGTTCCATGAATGAATAGAACAAATACTTATATAACCTGTCTAGATTACCATATAACTTATTGCAAGCAAAATATTCCAAGAAATGTTAGGTATAGCAAAAACTTTGTCCACTAGGTCCTTTCTAGATGTACTGTACTTCTTAACAAGATTAGAACACTTAAATTGCATTTAATAATTGTGTCAATTGACTAGACAGGAGAGCCGGTATGATACTGAAAAATCTACAAGATTCTTTATTTTAACTCTTTGGCTGTGGCACCTCTGCTTCAGCCCCATACTTTTCTAGGGTTTAACCCTTAGACAGAGGAATGGCAAAATGGTCATTTCCAGAAATGGTCAGACAGTAACTGTTTAAATCATCATATGATGATGACCGCATTCCTCTAGTAACATTCATGATGATAACCGCACTTGTACCACAAAATGGTAGCAGGATTTTTTCATGGATCAAGGTAAACTCCATTATACCCACACAGACCAATTATATCCGTACTAGCATCAAACATGTAAAACCAAGACAATATTTGATTAAAATCTTCATATGATAACTGCATTACCCTACGAGTCATTGATGGCAGTTATTGACAATAACTGCTGTCTAAGGGTTAATTAAAATTTTTGGAGGGGGCCGAATGGTGGCTGCAGGAAGGTAGCTCGCCGAGATAGCTCCACATGGATGAGTCACATCCGTCTTAGGCCTGAATGGCCTACCAGGGACCAGAACCTGCCCCGCCCCCCCCCCCCACCACCTCACTGACACACAGGAAGTACAGGATTGCAGGCCATGAGTCACAATAACGTGACACTACCACGTTATTGATTGGTCAACGAAGTATGTTGACCAATCCACACACTAGAAAATGAAGGGACGACGACGTTTCGGTCCGTCCTGGACCATTCTCAAGTCGATTGTAATCAAGTCACAATTGACTTGAGAATGGTCCAGGACGGACCGAACGTCGTCGTCCCTTCATTTTCTAGTGTGTGGATAGGTCAAGTAGAGGATTGTTATGACCCAACCCATACTCCTGTTTAGATAATACTTTTTGTAATTATGTGCACCATAGTACAAATATTTATGTACCAGTACTAAGGAGTTAGAAGAATTTTGTACTATTCACTTTATAGTCCAAAACAAATGAAGCTAAAATACAAACTTAAATATTCTTAGGCCTAGTATAGCACACACATGTGTGCAATATGTGTATATACCAGGGCCTCGTAGCCTGGTGGATAGCGAGCAGGACTCGTAATTCTGTGGTGCGGGTTCGATTCCCGCACGAGGCAGAAACAAATGGGCAAAGTTTCTTTCACCCTGAATGCCCCTGTTACCTAGCAGTAAATAGGTACCTGGGAGTTAGTCAGCTGTCACAGGCTGCTTCCTGGGGGTGGAGGCCTGGTCGAGGACCGGGCCGCGGGGACACTAAAGCCCCAAAATCATCTCAAGATCTCAAGAAGATGTACACATTAGGCCTCAGATAGTGTGAATCAGGTCTCGGAAAGTTAGGTTAGTTTAGTTTGTCTTTGCAACATAAATAGAAAATCTTTTCCAGTTTGTCCAAATTCAATATGTCCGATTTCTACTTTTGAATTGCGTCAGTATACTGTATGCACTATGGTCCTCATCATCACTATAATACTACCAAAATGGGAGGATGGGCTGTATGATCACCCTCACTCAGAAAACATCCAGAAAGTATTTATTTATTTACTTATTTATTTAGATGCAATCTGGGAAGAATGGATGTAAAAAGCTGAACAGAGGGAAGAGCATGAAAATTCAATCAACTCCAGTACAGGCAAGAAGCATACATCATGAATGCCTTGCAATCTGAAACACACCTAAAGTCTCGGGTTCCACACTGAGGTGAACAGTTCCACCTGGGGGCAACCGGTTGATTCACAACCTTGTGAATCTAGTGAAAAGAGTCATTCTTGACCATGCACTCACTCAGTATCAAAATACTGTCAGCAAGAACATTTGACGTGCCCTGCACATGAACCACATATACTGTAAAGCTAAACCCTGAAAAGCTTAGAAACTGAGCTACACACATTCAGGGAAGGTACTGAATCAACCAACGCTGGGTGAGACAATGAACCAGTTACACGCAGTCTTAGTGAGGCCAAGTCCCAAAGTCCGGCTGAAGACGAATATTCTGCAGCACAAATCAAACTTGCATAAAGGGAAAGTGGGTGAGTATATCTGGCATACAAAGCATGGGCTACAACTCGGGATTTACTGAGGCAAGGTTTACTCTAGTCGAGATTGCACTGTATTTGATTCTCCCACCAACTGTTGGTAGAATTTATCAGATCCAGAGGCTTGTTTTGAAGGTCAGAGGAAGTTGTCAAACATTATAAGATTTGGAAATACTTTTCTAGGCATGTGGACTCAGATTGCACATTTCATTCTATCGCGTACTTTCAGCTGTCGACTGCTGTCAAGTATTGAGAGTTAAGGTTGTCTTTTGGTTGGCTCTCATTTAAGGTTGCTTGGTTGATGAGCTTTATACTTATCTCTGTAAGGGGGACTTCTGTGTCTTTGGCCCCTGCTTATGGTGGCAAGCACTGCCATCTAGTTGGTCATTTTAGCTAATAAGTGTTTACATAGTCTAGGCAAGTGTTATAATTGTTGTCCATGTAGTTGCTTGTTTTGAAGCACTGTTCTTTCTGGTGATTTTTCCTCCAGAATTATGAACCAAGATTCCCAAGCTCTCCTTTGTCTCTACTGTGAGGGCCCAGAATCTGGTCATGGACTCTGGTAGGCATCCATCAATCATTAGAGCCTGGTGTGCTACCTAAGATCTGCAAGTAAGTAAGTAATTATCAAAAGAAGGCACCAAACCGGGAAGGCTACTAAGATCTGCAAGCTTCCGGATGAGAAGCTCAGGGAGCTACAGAGGGAAAGAGTTATTTAATTACCTTCGATGATGGATTTGTGTGTTTGTATATCCAACCAATACTCTGCTAAAATATACAGCACATCTCTCTAAAACCACTGTACTGTTCTTCTCCCAAGCATTTTCTTTATTGAATTTTAAGATATTACTGTATGTAGGAAAAGCAGCTTCCAAAGTTTTTCTTAAAGAAGATTTGCAATTAAAAAATATATACTGTACTCCAAAAAAGGTACACATAGTTATGTCTGAAAATAAATTATATTTACCTTAGATCCACATGAAATGAATGTAACAATATTTTCTTTTCCTTTCTCTTCTTTCTTTTGACTTGAAAGTGAATCTCTAAACTTTGATGTTAAAGTAGGCCGCGCGTAACTTTGGTCTGACACAGGCTTGGTCGTTTTACAAGTATGAGGGACTCCTTTCTCCTTGCTTCTTTGATGCGGCTCTCTAGAACACTGAGGAGGCTTGACTCGTGACTCATATTTCCTTCTGTTTAAAGACTCATCTGGAGAACTCTCACTGTGTCTTTCTCTGTTTCTGCTAACTCTTTTCTCTGAGGCATTACTACCAGAGTGTGTAGGAATTTCTCTTCTTTGTTGGCTGTGTGTAGTTCTGATAGAATTCTCACTCGTGGAACTCTCATGAGAAATATCATGACTGGATGGCAAACTGGAGCAAGACTGCTGTTGTAATTTTCTGCTGTGCTTTGATGCCTGTGACCCTGGAATGGATTTTTTCTTTTTTTTGGCTTTTGCTGCTTTATTTCCTCTATAAACTTCATGATGACTTCTGGAATTCTATGAAAAGAAAAACAAAAGTTATATAGTGTTCACTAAGAAAATTTAAATGCGGTAGTGTACAGGTACAGTACTGTATTTTGCTGATACAACATCTAATAGGAAAATAATAAAGTTGAATGTCAGCCAAAGAATTCTACTAATTGATTAAATTATTTTATGAAGCAATACTTACTATACTTGCTTCAAAAGATACATAGTGTGATAATAAAAGAATATCTCAGTTACTACAGGCATTGTGGAAAACTTGAAGCAAAAAAATAGCAGTCAGAGAAATTGAAAATGGGGAAAAATGTATATGCAGTAATAAAAATACAGTGATGGGGATTAAGACAGGAACATATATTCTACCACAGAACACACACACACACATCATGCCAGACCTGCCCCCCTGAAGCCCACATCAAAAGGATATCATCAGCAGCATATGCAAGGCTGGCAAACATAAGAACTGCCTTTAGAAACTTGTGTAAGGAATCATTCAGAACCTTGTATACCTCATAAGTCAGACCAAAATTAGAGTATGCAGCTCCAGCATGGAGTCCGTATCTAGTCACACACACACAATGCAGTTAGAAAAAGCTCAGAGGTATGCCACCAGGCTAGTCCCCGAGCAGAGGGGTATGAGCTACAGGAAAAGACTACTGGAAATAAACCTAACAACACTGAAAGACAAAAGAGTTAGGAGACACATAATCACCACCTATAAAATTATCAGAGGATATTGACAGGATAGATAAAGACAAACTATTTAGCACGGGTGGTATGCGAACAAGATGACACAGGAGGAAACTTGGTACACAAATGAGCCACAGGGATGTTAGAATAATTTTTTTCAGTGTCAAGGTAGTTAACAGATGGAATGCATTAGGCAGTGATGTGGTGGAGGCTGACTCCATACACAGTTTCAAATGCAGATATGATAGAGTCCAATAAGCTTAGGAACCTGTACACCAACTAATTGACAGATGAGAGGCTGGACCAAAGACTCGAAGCTCAACCCCCGCAAGCACAAGCCGGTGAATACAACTAGCACACCATTCAGCAACAAGGTTGTCATCAGGGCTCTCCTGACTATAGTCCAGAGATTTTGCCTAATGATGAAGGTGTTGGTATTTGGGAGTTTATTATTTGTGTGCCATTAATTGTACAAATAATATTGGCATTCTGAAGCATAGTATACTTGATCCACTCCTTTCTCATGCACATCAATAACCAATGTCTGCTGTGAATCATTCTGCATCTATAAAATGCAGAAATAGTTATTAGAGAAGACTGTTGTAAATTTAGGGTCCCATGATGCAGCACTGATCAGGAAAATAAAATTAACTGAATACAGTGTCATGAGATCGTGACATACTAATATTAATGATTTGGATTTTGACTGTTTTCACCTTGGTTGTACAGTATCTTGTGTTGTCTTTGCATTACATAAGTATGAAAAACATAAATGTATGAAATGCCATGAAAATAATGGCATTATTCTTTTTTTCCTGCCCCCCCCCCCCACCCCACAATATATTATGTGAACTTACATCAGAATGTATACTTGGTCTGCGGTTAATTAAAACACTAGTCTCCTTTTGTTGTTGATGTTCTGAAAGAAAGGAAAGAAATCAATTAGAAACTGTTAGTTTTAATCAAAGTGAAATTTATATGTAATATACATATACGTAAGGAAGCCGGTCGGCCAGTAAGGGAGCCGGTCGGCCGAGAGGACAGCATGCTGGACTTGTGATCCTGTGGTCCCGGGGTCGATCCCGGGCGCTGGCGAGAAACAATGGTTATCTTGAGATTATCTTGGGCAGAGTTTCTTTCACCCTATGCCCGTTACCTAGCAGTAAAATACTGTAGGTACCTGGGTGTTAGTCAGCTGTCACGGGCTGCTTCCTGGGGGTGGAGGCCTGGTCGAGGATCAGGCTGCAGGGACACTAAAGCCCCGAAATCATCTCAAGATAACCTCAAGATAAAATAGCCCCTTACATACCGGGAAGATCTCCATACCTTGGAAATGCTTAGATCCTTCTCTTTACCTATCAATTTTTCTAGCATTTCCCCAATGTTTTGTTGATCAGTTTTACCTTCTACTTTTGCAAGGTTTCTTATAATGAGGTTATTTTATCGGTTTTCTCTCTCTCAAGCTTCTGAATCTCTCTCCAAGCCCATAAATCTGCACACACAGAAATAATATCACATGAGACCAGAAGGCATGGCAAGATATGCAGAATACCCCCACTGAAAAGCAGAGGTGCAATAGGTACTTCGAAAGAGAACTCTGTCAACATCAGAGGCCCGAGACTGTTCAACACGCTTCCACTCTACATAAGGGGCATAACTGGCCGACCCCTCACAGTGTTCAAGAGAGAACTCAATAAGCACCTCCAAAGGATACCTGATCAACCAGGCTGTGTCAGGCTGTGAGCAGCCATGTTCAACAGCCTGGTTGACCAGACCATCAACCAGGTCTGGTAAGAGACCGGACAGCGGGGACCTTGACCTTCAGAATCACCGCAAGGTAACCATAAGTTAAGTTTCTACAGCCCTTTCCTCAACTCTGCCAGCATCCCCAGTGTTTTCCTTGAATGTTGGATTGCTCCCCAGATTCTTCTAGTTAACTACTAGTATCATGCCTAAATGAATGTTTCTTTATCAAGCATAGAGAATCACAATACAGTACCTATAAGAGTGGCAACATAGACAAACCAATGCAGAAACAGGCCTTCACAACCTCAAAGCATAATTGTTGCCTCTTAATAAATATCATATATCAATTGTTAGCAACAGTTTATAAAGAAATTCAAGTATTGTCTTTATAAATATCCATTTCTTACTGTATGGCCTCATCAGAGAACTCTCTAAACAAGAATGAATTAATGGTGGAAGGAAAATTAAAATATTTCATTGCCTAGAAGAGACAATGACTTCAATTATGCCTTATAATCTATTTGTACAAAACAAAAGCTTATCAGCCATTTAAAATATTAAAATCAACATACCTGAAATTGTTGACCAAACCACACACTAGAAAGTGAAGGGACAATGACGTTTCGGTCCATCCTGGACCATTCTCAAGTCGATGAGAATGGTCCAGGACGGACCAAAACGTCGTCGTCCCTTCACTTTCTAGTGTGTGGTTTGGTCAACATATTTCAGCCACGTTATTGTGACTCCTCGTCTGCATACCTGAAATTGAACTGGCCTTTGATGTCTGAATTTTACAATCGGCACGAAAAGATGTATTTGTCTCTGCATTTTTAAATTCTGGCTTTTGGCTTTGTTGTTGAGCTTTCTCCTGCAAAGATTTCAGTGTGTCTTCGACAATGTCCAGAGCCGCAGTCATACCTGAAAATGTTATTAATAAATATTGTGTGAGTATTACATTGTGATAAAGCTACATGATGCATGCAGGGGCACAATTCTCACCATTAATGTATTCACCATCTATTATATACTAGGTACAGGTGTGCAGTGTTGAACATTTGTCTTAAGAATTAGTTAAGTTAAAAATTAGCAGTTATAAAATTTCACTTTTATTTATAAACAAACTATGTATGTGTATATGTATATATGTGACAGTGTCAGACCACAAAGGAAGGATTAATCTTCAGAAAGATCAAGTACTTTACAAGTAAAGTACTTTTGTATTTATGAATGTATTATTAAATACAAAAGTACTTAAAGAAATTCCTGTCTTAATCCATCCTTCGTGGTCTGACACTGTCACATTGTTCATCACGTGTTAATTTCTTCATGATTTACGTACAGAGAAGGAACTGTACCCAGTCATTTCGACCATCTATGAGCATACATCAAACTAGCAAGAAGCGAAGCCATTGCTCTAATCTATCTACTAGTTTAAGCTACTGCTGATGTCATTTGGTTATCGGCAACTACAGCATGGGGCCATATGTACCACATCCTTCCTTCCCATATGTCGGGAAACTCTAAAGCCCAGTGGCTGTGTCACCTGTTGGTAGAAAAACTGTTGTGCCTCACGGTGGATAAAAAAGACTAAAGCAGGTGCTTTGGGACCCTCTGGCATCTCCCAAGGAGGCAAGTGACAATCCACACCCCAAACAGGGAGCCTACTTGAAGACTTTCTATCAACACCTTATGACCCAAGACATTAATACATCAGGAGTCCTGTAAACTCTGGGTAGCCAAACAAAGTAGAGGCCAAATGGCAAAATCACGAAGGCTCCTCTAATACACTAAACCCAATCAGGCAAAATTCAGCAACATTCTCAAGTGATCTCCAGCAGAGCAGGAGCCATACACCCATCACACCAGGAGTCCACCTCCCAGCAACCAATCGTAAAATGGAAACAGAACAAAAAATCTACCAATGTCCCTGTGACCCTAGGCAATAAAGGCCTCGGGTATCGAAAAGAGAAATGAAGAGGAAGCCAGACATCAATATCGTGACTCAAAAGGCGATAATCACATCCCATTCTGTTAGCTGCGGGATGTTACTAATAATAATAATATAATATTTTATTTAGGAAAAGTACATACATAGATGCAGTTACAAACATTCTGATTGATTTAATAAATAAATGTTTATTCAGGTAAGGTACATACATACAAGAGATTTTACAAAAATTGATCGATTTATAGATAGAGCTAGTACATACAATGCCTAAAGCCACTATTACGCAAAGCGTTTCGGGCAGGAAAAACATTAATCACTAAAACTTAATACTAATTGAGTATAAAGAATAAAATGTGTTGAGAACAAATAAAAATAAAGATAAAAAAAGGGGGGAACATGGCTGGAAAAGCAGCACAAATACAATTAGGTTGACAAACAGCGTTGTTTAAAAAAACAGACATGGGTTGACAATAGAGGCTACCTACCTACCTTGAGGTGCTTCCGGGGCTTAGTGTCCCCGCGGCCCGGTCGTCGACCAGGCCTCCTGGTTGCTGGACTGATCAACCAGGCTGTTAGACGCGGCTGCTCGCAGCCTGATGTATGAGTCACAGCCTGGTTGATCAGGTATCCTTTGGAGGTGCTTATCCAGTTCTCTCTTAAACACTGTGAGGGGTTTGCCAGTTATGCCCCTTATGTGTAGTGGAAGCGTGTTGAACAGTCTCGGGCCTCTGATGTTGATAGAGTTCTCTCTCAGAGTACCTGTTGCACCTCTGCTTTTCAACAGGGGTATTCTGCACATCCTGCCATGTCTTCTGGTCTCATGTGGTGTTATTTCTGTGTGCAGGTTTGGGACCAGCCCCTCAATTATTTTCCACGTGTAAATTATTATGTATCTCTCCCGCCTGCGCTCAAGGGAGTACAGATTTAGGCTCTTTAGTCGGTCCCAGTAATTTAGATGTTTTACTGAGTGGATTCTAGCAGTAAAGGATCTCTGCACGCTCTCTAGGTCAGCAATTTCTCCAGCTTTGAAAGGGGCTGTCATTGTGCAGCAGTACTCCACTCTAGAGAGCACAAGCGTTTTGAAAAGTATCATCATCGGTATAGCATCTCTAGTGTGAAAAGTTCTTGTTATCCAACCTGTCATTTTTCTTGCAGTTGCGACGGCTACTTTATTGTGTTCTTTAAAGGTAAGGTCTTCCGACATGAGTACACCCAGGTCCTTTACATTGCCTTTTCGTTCTATGTTATGATTTGCCTGCGTTTTGTGCGTGGTTTCTGTTTTTATATTTTCAATTTTTCCGTAGCGCATGAGCTGAAACTTATCCTCGTTGAATACCATATTATTTTCTGTAGCCCATAGAAAGACCTGATCTACATCTGATTGGAGGTTTGCCGTGTCCTCTATGTTGCCAACTCTCATGAAAATCCTAGTGTCATCTGCAAAGGATGATACAGTGCTATAGGTTGTGTTCTGATCTAAGTCCGATATGAGGATGAGAAAAAGTACTGGAGCAAGCACAGTACCCTGGGGGACTGAGCTCTTCACGGTTGATGGGCTGGATTTTATTTTGTTGACTATTACACATTGGGTTCTGTCAGTCAGGAAATTGTAGATCCATCTGCCTATTTTCCCGGTAATTCCTTTTGAACGCATTTTATGTGCAATAACACCATGGTCACATTTATCAAAAGCTTTTGCGAAATCTGTGTAAATTACATCAGCGTTTTGTTTGTCTTCCATAGCATCTAATGCCATATCATAGTGGTCCAGCAACTGTGACAGGCAAGAGCGCCCTGTTCTGAAACCATGTTGTCCGGGGTTATGGAGATGCTGTGATTCCATGTATTTTGTGATCTTACTTCTTAGCACTCTCTCAAAAATTTTTATGATGTGCGATGTTAGTGCTATCGGTCTGTAATTTTTTGCCTCTGCCTTATTTCCTCCTTTATGGAGTGGTGCTATCTCTGCTGTTTTTAGTATGTCAGGGATAACGCCAGTATCTAGGCTTTGTCTCCACAGAATGTGAAGGGCCTGCGATAGTGGTTTTTTACAGTTCTTGATGAATAGAGGGGTAAGTTAGGTTACAGGGAATTTATTAGGTAGTGCTTCGTTTTTATCTTAAACTGGTTGAGAGAGGTACAGTCTTTAACATGGTTGGGAAGGTCATTCCACATTCTGGGTCTCTTGATTTGTAGAGCATTTCTAGTTTGATTAAGTCGTACTCTTGGAATATCAAAACTGTATTTATTTCTGGTTGTGGTGCTCATGGGTTCTGTTACAACCTTCAATGAAGCTTTTGAGGTCAGGATTGGCATTACAGTTCAGCATTTTATATATGTATAATACACATGAGAGAATGTGCAGTGACTTAATATCTAACATATTCAGAGATTTGAGTAGGGGTATCGAGTGATGTCTGGGGACAGAGTTGGATATTGTCCTAATACCAGCTTTGTGTGGAGTAATTAGAGGACGTAAATGATTTTGGGTAGTAGAACCCCAAGCACAAATACCATACTTGAGATATGGATAGATGAGGAGTAATAGAGTCACCAGGGCAGGGCGGAGTACATAATATCTGATCTTAGAAAGAATGCCAACAGTTTTTGAAACTTTTTTTGATATATTTAGAATGTGTCCCTGGAAATTCAGCTTGTGGTCAATGAGAATGCCAAGGAATTTGCCATTTATAGCTAGAGTTAGTGCATACAATACCTAAAGCCATTAGCACGCATAGCGTTTCAGGCAGTCCTAGTACGTCTGTGTGTATGTAGACTGACTAGTAGACCAAACGAACACAGAATTATATTCTAAGGTCATCTAATCGGAGTCAATAGACCTAAAACTCTCTACAAACATATTTGGTCTACTAAATAGCCAACTTTCCCTCTTGATTCCACATACTTAAATTTACCTGTGTCTACATAGGCCATTTGGAATACCTATCAAATGAACTTTGGTCCATTGCAGTAAGCACGAAACCATTCTTATGTTAAGGAGGCTGATCATTTAAAACATTTACATAACATTTACCGATCCTGTTTGAATACGGTGAAGATTTTGCCATCTTCCTTCAATGATTTTGGAATGTTGTGTAGTAGAGAACGCTATAGGCACAGACTCTGCTCCAGGGAGTCACAGCTTCACGTCACAGACACAGCTTCACGTCAGACACAGCAACACATCACAGTTTTACGTTAGATACAGCTTTACGTCACACACACACACAGCTTCACATCACATATAAGGGCACGTCAGACACTGCTACACACGCCAAACAGATGTAAGACACAGCTACACACGCCAGACAGAGGCAAGACACAGCTACACACGCCAGACAGAGGCAAGACACAGCTACACACGCCAGACAGAGATAAGACACGGCTACACACAACAACGATACGTCAGAACAATGGTAAACAAAGTTCAAAGTTGCTGCCAAGCGCCGCCGTCGACAATGACCGGCAACAAGCCGAACTAGAAATAAAAATATTCCATTATTATGCCGCTATTATAATTATAAACAATTATATTATAAAACTTATACAAACCAATAGTTACAAATACTACTTTAATATTAGTATCCTAAACATTATATTTTATTTTGCAGCTGAATTCTGGCTCAGTGCACATATTTGCAGTTGGAAATTAAAACTTTCTTGCATTATTTCAGAGTAAAAATAGGTTTGATCATGTTCTGCATTCAGCACCAATATTATAGTAAGTAAATATAAATATACCACATTTCTTTCATTACTTACGTAATGTTAGCGGGATTTGGGTAGATTTGGGTGGATGTGGGTAGATTTCGGTGGGTTTGGATAGATTTGTGCTAGATTTTGGTGAATTTGGGTGGATGTGGGTAGACTTGGGTGGGTTTGGGTAGATTTGTGATAGATTTTGGTGAGTTTGGGTAGATTTGGATAATTCTATGGCCTATTCTGGCTGCCTGTCCCATGACTCAAAGAATTGTTAAATAAAAATTATTACTACTTCAAACTTCGTCAGCACACGCAGGAAGGACCTTTGCTGGTTTGCAATGCTAACTAAATCCTTTCTAATAATATAATTACTATTAAATATCTCATTTTTTAAATTTAAAAAAATATCACAGCAGTACAGAATTTTATTTGATTAATAAATAAATACAAACTGCTAAATATGATAACTAAGCCAATAAGCAAGATGTGTTTTTTAACATTATTTTAACTTATGTATCATTGTACTTCACTCACAATGTCAAGCTACCTAACCTGCCACAACCCATCCCATTCCAGCCTAACCTAACCCAACTAAACCAAAGCTACTGCAGCCTACTATAACAAAATATATATATATATATATATATATATATATATATATATATATATATATATATATATATATATATATATATATATATATATATATATATATATATATAATAAAAAAAATATAATATAATAAAAAAAATATAAATAAAAAAAAATATAAATAAAAAAAATTATATATATATATATATATATATATATATATATATATATATATATATATATATATATATATATATATATATATATATATATATATATATATATATATATATATATATATAATATATATATATATATATATATATATATATAATATATATATATATGTCGTACCTAATAGCCAGAACGCACTTCTCAGCCTAATATGCAAGGCCCGATTTGCCTAATAAGCCAAGTTTTCCTGAATTAATATATTTACTATAATTTTTTTCTTATGAAATGATAAAGCTACCCTTTTCACTATGTATGAGGTCAATTTTTTTTTATTGGAGTTAAAATTAACGTAGATATATGACCGAACCTAACCAACCCTACCTAACCTAACCTAACCTATATATATAGGTAAGGTTAGGTTAGGTAGCCAAAAAAAGCTAGGTTAGGTTAGGTTAGGTAGGTTAGGTAGACGAAAAAACATTAATTCATGAAAACTTGGCTTATTAGGCTAATCGGGCCTTGCATAGTAGGCTGAGAAGTGAGTTCTGGCTACTAGGTACGACATATATATATATATATATATATATATATATGTCGTACCTAGTAGCCAGAACGCACTTCTCAGCCTACTATGCAAGGCCCGATTTGCCTAATAAGCCAAGTTTTCATGAATTAATTGTTTTTCGACTACCTAACCTACCTAACCTAACCTAACCTAACTTTTTCGGCTACCTAACCAAACCTAACCTATAAAGATAGGTTAGGTTAGGTTAGGTAGGGTTGGTTAGGTTCGGTCATATATCTACGTTAATTTTAACTCCAATAAAAAGAAATTGACCTCATACATAACGAAATGGGTAGCTTTATCATTTCATAAGAAAAAAACTAGAAAAAATATATTAATTCAGGAAAACTTGGCTTATAAGGCAAATCGGGCCTTGAATAGTAGGCCAAAAAGTGAGTTCTGGCTACTAGGTACGACATATATATATATATATATATATATATATATGTCGTACCTAGTAGCCAGAACTCACTTTTTGGCCTACTATTCAAGGCCCGATTTGCCTAATAAGCCAAGTTTTCCTGAATTAATATATTTTTTCTAATTTTTTTCTTATGAAATGATAAAGCTACCCATTTCATTATGTATGAGGTCAATTTTTTTTATTGGAGTTAAAATTAACGTAGATATATGACCGAACCTAACCAACCCTACCTAACCTAACCTAACCTATCTTTATAGGTTAGGTTTGGTTAGGTAGCCGAAAAAGTTAGGTTAGGTTAGGTTAGGTAGGTTAGGTAGTCGAAAAACAATTAATTCATGAAAACTTGGCTTATTAGGCAAATCGGGCCTTGAATAGTAGGCCAAAAAGTGAGTTCTGGCTACTAGGTACGACATATATATATATATATATATATATATATATATATATATATGTATATGTATATATATATATATATATATATATATATATATATATATATATATATATATATATATATATATATATATATATATATATACATATATATACATATATATATATATATATATATATATGTCGTACCTAGTAGCCAGAACACACTTCTCAGCCTACTATGCAAGGCCCGATTTGCCTAATAAGCCAAGTTTTCCTGAAATAATATATGTTCTCTAATTTTTTCTTATGAAATGATAAAGCTACCCATTTCATTATGTATGAGGTCAATTTTTTTTTATTGGAGTTAAAATTAACGTAGATATACGACCGAACCTAACCAACCCTACCTAACCTAACCTAACCTATCTTTATAGGTTAGGTTAGGTTAGGTAGCCGAAAAAGTTAGGTTAGGTTAGGTTAGGTAGGTTAGGTAGCCGAAAAACAATTTATTCATGAAAACTTGGCTTATTAGGCAAATCGGGCCTTGCATAGTAGGCTGAGAAGTGCGTTCTGGCTACTAGGTACGACATATATATATATATATATATATATATATATATATATATATATATATATGTCGTACCTAGTAGCCAGAACGCACTTTTCAGCCTACTATGCAAGGCCCGATTTGCCTAATAAGCTAAGTTTTCATGAATTATATATTTTCTCTAATTTTTTTCTTATGAAATGATAAAGCTACCCATTTCATTATGTATGAGGTCAATTTTTTTTTATTGGAGTTAAAATTAACGTAGATATATGACCGAACCTAACCAACGCTACCTAACCTAACCTAACCTATCTTAATAGGTTAGGTTAGGTTAGGTGGCCGAAAAGGTTAGGTTAGGTTAGGTTAGGTAGGTTAGGTAGTCGAAAAACAATTAATTCATGAAAACTTGGCTTATTAAGCAAATCGGGCTTTGCGTAGTAGGCTGAAAAGTGAGTTCTGGCTACTAGGTACGACATATATATATATATATATATATATATATATATATATATATTTTATATATATATATATATATATATATATATATATATGTACATATATATATATATGTCGTACCTAGTAGCCAGAACGCACTTCTCAGCCTACTATGCAAGGCCCGATTTGCCTAATAAGCCAAGTTTTCATGAATTAATTGTTTTTCGACTACCTAACCTAACCAAACCTAACTTTTTCGGCTACCTAACCAAACCTAACCTATGAAGATAGGTTAGGTTAGGTTAGGTAGGGTTGGTTAGGTTCAGTCATATATCTACGTTAATTTTAACTCCAATAAAAAAAAATTGACCTCATACATAATGAAATGGGTAGCTTTATCATTTCATAAGAAAAAAATTAGAAAAAATATATTAATTCAGGAAAACTTGGCTTATTAGGCAAATCGGGCCTTGAATAGTAGGCCAAAAAGTGAGTTCTGGCTACTAGGTACAACATATATATATATATATATATATATGTCGTACCTAGTAGCCAGAACTCACTTCTCAGCCTACTATTCAAGGCCCGATTTGCCTAATAACCCAAGTTTTCCTGAAATAATATATTTACTATAATTTTTTTCTTATGAAATGATAAAGCAACCCTTTTCTCTATGTATGAGGTCAATTTTTTTTTATTGGAGTTAAAATTAACGTAGATATATGACCGAACCTAACCAACCCTACCTAACCTAACCTAACCTATATTTATAGGTAAGGTTAGGTTAGGTAGCCAAAAAAAGCTAGGTTAGGTTAGGTTAGGTAGGTTAGGTAGACGAAAAAACATTAATTCATGAAAACTTGGCTTATTAGGCAAATCGGGCCTTGAATAGTAGGCTGAGAAGTGCGTTCTGGCTATTAGGTACGACATATATATATATATATATATATATATATATATATATATATATATATATATATATATATATATATATATATATATATATATATATATATATATATATATATATATATATATATATATATATATATATATATATATATATATATATATATATATATATACATATATATACATATATATATAAGAGTTCTCCAAAACTCATTTTCGTACTTTTAAGGTGAAGAAAAGAAGTGATTTACTATAGAGTGTATTACACTTATTTGTATAATTTGCACGACGTTTCGAACCTTCGAAACGTTCGAAACGTCGTGCAAATTATACAAATAAGTGTAATACACTCTATAGTAAATCACTTCTTTTCTTCACCTTAAAAGTACGAAAATGAGTTTTGGAGAACTCCTATTTCAATTAAGCCCTGATGCTAAGAAAATAGTTAGAGGGATAGAAGCCCTAAACCAGAAAATAATAAATACAGAATATGCGGTCATATTCAATGAAACATGTTTGAAAGAAAACCTGCTGCCAGTATACACCAATATATATATAAATATATATATATATATATATATATATATATATATATATATATATATATATATATATATATATATATATATATATATATTAAATATGACCGAAAAAGTAAGATTAATAATTCTAACACTAATTTTCTTGATATGTCTTATGTTTCTTTCACTGTTGATGGTAATTGAAAAATCAATTCTCCAAAATTCATTTTTATTTCTAGTCTGACGTGACACTTGAACGCGTTTCGTAATAACTTATTACATTTTCAAAGACTTTTAGTTTACATACACACAACTATAACCTGCAAACACTAAACAGTGTTTAGTGTGTGTGATTTACTGTAGTTACTAAAGCAGTTCTTCACCAAACTTGGATTTATGTAGCTGCCCTAAGTGTAATTACCTAAGTGTAGTTACAGGATGAGAGCTACGCTCGTGGTGTCCCGTCTTCCCAGCACTCTTTGTCATATAACGCTTTGTGTGTGTGTGTGTGTGTGTGTGATTGATTGATTGATTGATTGATTTTAGTGTTACGGTAATCTCCTGCTTCGAAGTAGATCCTGGCTATTCCTTTACTGCCTATTCAATAACATATCTGCATGCTCCAATAAAAAAAATCAACATCAATGACAACAACAATAAGAAGCCTGTGTCTAGACAGGGCACCCCCCCCCCCTCCATCCTCTAGTACCCAAGACACCTGAACACCTGCTGTCTGGGGCCCAGCGCCACTCGCCGAGCAACCAGTTGCTGTTATAGATTCAGCTGCTCGGAACAAGTTCCAAGTAGCATGGGCTATGGTGAGCCCGTAACTTACCTGGCACACGAGCGGGGCAAGTAGCACGGGCTATGGTGAGCCCGTAACTTACCTGGCACACGAGCAGGGCAAGTAGCACGGGCTATGGTGAGCCCGAAACTTACCTGGCACACGAGCAGGACAAGTAGCACGGGCTATGGTGAGCCCGTAACTTACCTGGCACAGGAGCGGGGCTGTGTGTCTTCGCGATCAGCCTACTGCTTGTTTAAGACTGCTGGCGATAATTACCTGCACATCAGCACCATCTACACGAGGCTTGGCCGCATATATAAGCAGCTCACCATTGCCCAGTCCTCAGAATACTCTTCGTGCTCTCAAGCAGTAACATATACTGTAGCCTTCCCAGAAAACAGTAGATGTGTAGAGCTATTGTATATTGTATTGTTTTGCACCTCTTTTTAGTGCTAAACATAAGCCACATGTTTATATTTCTTTTGCATTTTATATTGTGGTACAGTATCGCCAAGTGGATAATGGGATTTGTTTTATTTCTTATTAAAGTAAATTTTGTTATACAGTATTGAATATTTAAAGTTTTTCATTCTTTTGAAATTTCAACTGCAGCTCTCTCACAGTAAAGAGGTCAGAAGCAGTCTTATTTACTTTATTTTACTTTGTGACTGGCATATCACCTGCCGGAATAGCCACTGCTCTATTTTCAGATTTATGTCACAACCAAACCCAATACAGCGAAACCTAAGCTACTGCAGCCTATCATAACAATATATATGTGATTTTAGCAAACAGAAAATGAGCTTTGTCAAAACATCTTTTGTCTGAAATGCCACTATCAGGCACCTTGCAATTGATATACCTTCATATTCCATTAATTACAAGTTTATTAAGTGTTAGCTATTAAATTTTAGCTAGGACAAATACTTACCTAACATCTTTTTGCTGCATTTTTATTTTAACACTTATTGTGTTGCATGTTCTACAGTATTTTTTTTTTTGTATTTGTATGCACACTACAGACTGCCCTGCTGCCTTTGAGTACTGTAGTCATGGCCTAACAACATTGGTTTAAATTTATTATGTGACAAGGTATATCGCTCCACTGATTCCTCTACATGTAGCAGTGAATAAATATGTGTCCAAGATCTCTTCCTCTGTTACACAATTTGGCTCTGTGTAACAATGAACCTAATTAGTTTTTCAGATAAGTACACCTGTGGTAAAAAATCCTATCAGCTGTAAAAATATTTATGCACTTATTTAAATAAAAAATATAATGAAACAAATATTTTTGGCTTATGTTTATCCTATCTTTTGTACTGTACAGTATATCCATTCAATAGTCATACTGGCTTTTCTGCATTTTTCCCAATACTTACCTTGCCATCTGGGAGGCATGTGAGGAGCTCAATGGGTCTTTAAGGATGGCCCAAGAAGAGGTCTAATACAATACTGTAGATTATAAAAGGGTGGAAACTATTATACATGAAGTTGTAGCCGAGGCGGCAGTAAGACAGCACTTTAAGGAATTAAGAGTTTAGCAAAACGGTAGGATAAGACCAAAGTTAATCATAAATATTGATAAGAGGCAGCAGATTGTGAAACACACTGGTAATAGTCTAGTCTATTATGTCGTTAGTGAATGGGGGTACTCCAGGAATATTGTTAGACTGTAAATGTATCCAAGACAGCATGGTTTAAAGAGGAGGGGGGAATGTAATGCCTTTAAAACCTAATCCCGTTCTAAAAGAAGATTACCAAGAACTGGCAAGAGAGCTCTTCTCCTTCAATTGCCAAAAAGCCCTCGACATCCCTCCACTAATCATAAGTAGGAAAAGCTCACTAGGGTAACTGAGCTGAATTAGCAAGTATCAGAAAAATAGGAAATAGGATTGCAGCAATAGGAAGTCAAGATGGAGGGAAATAGCAAGCAGTGTCCCATGAGGCATGGTGCTTGAAACACTGTTCCCAATTTATATAAATAAAATTCTAGAGGTGGGAGAGTTGCACATACTTATATTAACTAAGTAAAGAGGATGGCAAGGACCGAAGATGACTGCTTACTTTAATATTACAGGAGGTCCTGATCACACTGCAGGAATACAAAATAATGGGGATTGGAACAGTTCATCTATTCATATATTCTGACCCAAACCCCACACACTACATGATATTGTCGACAATGAATTAAAAAAGTCCACTCATGGATGTCAACCAACAAACTTACATTAAAAATAGAAAAGACCTACTACATTCTATTTGACAGTAAATCATCAAATCAGATTCAACTTCAGATAGACAATGTTAACATTACCAATAAAAATGAGGGAAAGTTCCTTGGCCTATACATGACAAGAGACTGAACTCCAGCACCCACATACAACACAGCCAAAAAGTCTCAAAAACGGTCAATATATTTTCTAAAATCAAATACTGTACCATGTTCCCCACTCATTATACTACGCACTAATCTATCCCTATCTTACATACGGTATCTGTGCATGGGGTTAAACCACTACAAATTATCTCAAGCTTATCATCAATCAGCAAAAATCTGCTATCACACCTATAACAAATTCTGTCTTTGGCCAACACACAGCCCCTCTGTTTAAGTCTAAAAATGCTAAACATACACTCACTCCACACATTCTCATTTGCTATCTACATATAAAAAACCTAGTTCCTAAATGTTAATCTTGATCTGAAACTTTCCCTTTATATGTGTAATAGAACCCATGAGCACCATACCAGAAATCAATCTCTGACATTCCCTGAGGCAGACTAAATCTGTGCAAACTCTCCATGCAAATAAAAGGGCCCAGTCTTTTGGAGCTCATTCCCTGATAAATTAAAAAAAATCCAATCCATGCTCTGTTCAAAAGTAAAACTAAAATTTCATCCTCATAGTTTCCTACCTTGTACTTCAAACTCACTATCTTGTACTATGCACTTCTCCAATATTAGTACTGTACAGTACTTTACTTAAGGACATATATCCTTACCAGTACAATCACCGCTGTCGACTTGTATTGTAGTTTTTTGTTGATATAATACCTTGCTACAATGTACCTTTTCATCTTACCTGATATGTTAGATTATGAATCTACCCGAAACGCTAAGCATGTTGGTGGCTTTACATAAATGTAAAAATACCAATCTTATGTAATCTCCCCAACCCATTGTACCTTCTTGTGAATAAATTATTGTAGTGAAGATGAGATCAGGAGGACAATACAGATTACAAGGAAAACAATGGCAGGAATAAAAAAGGTTCAACAGCCTGAGAGTGGATGACACCAGCCTTTGTGCTAGAGGAACATCTTAATAAAATTCCCACAAGTCCGTCGTGGTGATTTGTCATTCGATAGACGTCCTAGTGAATCCGATCTCTTTGATGTAAATCGCCTTATGCGCTTCAGTTCTTGTATTGGCATCCTCAGTGATATTTTTGCGCATTTTGAATATCCAGCAACATTGATGGTGCTATGTAGTCTCCCAAGCTTGGTGCCTTCTTTTGATAATTCCTCACCCTAACAGAATAAGATTAGTTGCATATTATAACTAGTCCTAGAGTAAGTAGCTCTACTTGGAGACCACATATGGTAGAGCACCAAAACAAAATTGAGAAAGTCCAAAAATTTGCAATAAGACAGGTACCAGAGACGAAAGATATAAGCTTAGATAGGCGAAGTGAATTAAAGCCAACAACACTGGAAAAAAAAAAAGACGAGGTATATGAGTACAACATACAAGACACTCGAGATCATTTTCAAGGCGACAGCAGATAGAAGTTGAGAGCATGCCAAAGATTTGCATGGAAATACTTGCCTGCAGTAAATGGTAATAAAATGGAATGGGCTTCAACCAGATTGATGAGGTTGAAGCAAATTCCTTTCAGTTGCAATAGTAAACATGGCAAATAGAAGGTTAGGAGACAAATACACCATGCAAAACAGCTATGAGGCGAGGCTCTTAAGCAGGATACATGGGCATCCATAGTCCAACTTAGACATTTGCACCTAGGGAAGTACAAATGGAGAAGTGTCCATCTATCCACACTCCAGGTGAGAAGACCATGCATGGTATACATATGAATATATATATAGGGGTCTGACGGCTGAGTGGACAGTGCTCGGGATTCATAGTCCTAAGTTTCCGGATTCGATCCCTGGCGGAGGCGGAAACAAATGGGCAGTTTCTTTCACCTTGATGCCCTGTTCACCTAGCACAACTAGGCTGGGAGTTAAACAGCTGCTACGGGCTGCTTCCTGGGGGGTGTGTAACAAAAAGTAGGCCTGGTCGAGGACTGGGCCACGGGGACGCTAAGCCCCAAAATCATCTAAAGATGGTAATGGCCTTGGTGCATTCACTTCACAGGTAAGACTTTACACTCAATGTAGGCAGATATCAAATGCAGTATTAACATGAAATACAAAAAAATTCAGCTAAAAACAAACAAAAAAATTATAATACAATGGAAATTGTATTATGGGAAAATGGCTAGGAAAAATCAAGTTGCCATATGATGGTTTGAGTGAATATATAAAATAGTATTGTGGGTGTAGGAGCGAGTTGCATCTCCCCCAGTGGGTCCTCAGCCTGACCCCATTCCGCACCACTTAAAACTAATTTGTGGCTTTGTTTGCCAAGGACGATGTATCCTTAACTTACACTGTGCACCACAACCAGAGTCGTCTCGTTGATGGTGCACATAACCAGGATCATCTGATTGATGGTGCACACCACAACCAGGGTCGTCTGATTGATGGTGCACACCACAACCAGGGTCGTCCGATTGATGGTGCACACCACAACCAGGGTCGTCTCATTGATGGGGCACACCACAACCAGGGTCGTCTCATTGATGGGGCACACCACAACCAGGGTCGTCTCATTGATGGTGCACACCACAACCAGGGTCGTCTCATTGATGGGGCACACCACAACCAGGGTCGTCTCATTGATGGGGCACACCACGACCAGGGTCGTCTCATTGATGGTGCACACCACAACCAGGGTCGTCTCATTGATGGGGCACACCACAACCAGGGTCGTCTCATTGATGGGGCACACCACAACAAGGGTCGTCTCATTGATGGTGCACACCACAACCAGGGTCGTCTCATTGATGGGGCACACCACAACCAGGGTCGTCTCATTGATGGTGCACACCACAACCAGGGTCGTCTCATTGATGGTGCACACCACAACCAGGGTCGTCTCATTGATGGTGCACAACACAACCAGGGTCGTCTATCAAAATTTTGAATTCCCATGCAGACATGGGGTCTGCATTTGCTTCTTCAGGCCTTCAGTAACCATTCCCATCTCTAAAAATGTCAAATCCCTCATTTTCCTTTTAGGCCCCTTAGAAAAAAAAAAAAGGAGGACCATATCTGTTATCATCATCCAGTGCCCTAACATGCAGGCCAGCCATACTAGGAGTCACTGAACGTTTACCAATGGCAAATGAGTGATTACCATGTACATATTTCAGGCAAGATGTGGGCTATATGCAATTATAAGATTTAGGCTAATATATATTAGTGTAAATAAATACGTTTGTGTGTGTGTATTTATACACATCTGTACATACGTATATTTTCAAAGTTATATATAATAAACACCATTTAAGTGAGAAACAATGAAAATAAATTTACTAAGTTATTCCCATGTGGCACTACCTCATTTCTGGAGAAAAAACAGAACTTCTCTGGGCTACAACAGCCAAGAGAATTCTTGCATGGATTTGTTCTTCCTGAATGCAAAATAATTAACAATGGCAAATGAAAAAATTTATTTTTTCAGGCCAACTTTTTCCCGGCACACCACAAGTGTCAAAATTAACATGAGCGCAGTGCAGGGTTTAGAGAGATTTCTGGTAATTGCAAACGTATGTCACCAGACAATCTCCAGTTCCCATATATTAAGTTTGCTCGTAAGTGCCATTCTTTCTCACCTCGGAAGCTACAAATGTGTTAACGAGTATGGCCCTTAGCGAAACCGTTAAAAAACTTTGCTCTTTTCAATTTAATGTCTTGTATAGTTTTCATGCCCAACAATTACTACATGCTAATAAACCAAACAAGGGTATCAATACTATTTTAAAGTTTGTAAATATTTAGCATTGTTTTATTGCAAATAATGTGCTTCTTTACATTGCTTTACAAAATTTCCTATGCAAGCGTGAAACCAGGGCTACACTTGACATGTCAATCACATTTATACGAGACAAGAAAGGCAATGTGGGAACCTTGGAAATAACCTCTTTGTAAGACTGTGTAGTTCGATAATCTTGAATCTCATAGAAGCATGGCCATGACCCTCTACTACCAATCTTGACTCATACAGACAATTTGGGCTTGAATCACCAAGGAAAAAATAAGCACACATCTTATTCAAAATTATTATAACGATTATATTAACCCATAGGAAACTTACTACTGATAGAACTCAAAGAGGCTTACTAAATTTCCTCAAAGCACCCCTTACAATAGTTAAGACATCAACACGTCTACTTCCACCTTGAGAATGCTGGCAAAGTTTACAATTTAAATAGCCTTGTGCCATTTTTTATCACATTCTTACTGAAGTGAGATTGAGAGTTTATGAAGCTAAATTGATTCCTAATTATCAGAAAATGTTGAACATCTTAGTCTAGAGCACATTACAGCATAATTGACATTTGCAGACATTTTTATATACTATGTTTGATACTTTACTATTATCAAATAAATAACTTCTATTACCCTTTTAAGAATTGTCTGAAGTTCAACTTTTCAACATTATTCATTAAAATAAAACATTTGTCCACCCATAAATTTTATTATATGATTCACGTTTGTGATATTAAGCTAATAACAGTTAAATTAACAAATCGTTTTGGTGCTCTTTTAAGATGATTAAGAAGCAATCACCAAGACTGACCTCTGCAATGCCCACCTCTCCATTCACTGATTCAGCCACAGTAGAAAATTAAGGCAAGTCTTTAGAATATCCCAATATGTAAATAGGTTACATTTCAACTCTGCAGATCTTCATAACAAATCTCTCTGAACCATATCAATCAAGGAGCACAAGTTGTCTAAATCTCTGCTTCTGAATTCTTAAAATGTTTAGTAATCACACCCAAAGACTTTTTTCACAATCATAAAATAAGAAAAAGCACATTTATAATCAACGTGCTTCTTGATTGTATGAACTTTCAAAATTCTAGTCTCTTTTTCATAAACTATTCTTAAAAGCAAAGAATCTTGTAGATCCATAGTTTCCATTAGATGGTCAGGTAAACTCTAGCTACATCCCAATGTTGGTACATTTCAATGTACAGTACTGTTAATTCATTTGCAAGAAGCTATTTTCATAAATGCAATACCTCGTAACGATAATAATATGTTCACCGACACTATTCTTAAATTTGCGAGTCCTACTGAAAAGAGAAGCTTTACACAAGGCAGAAGACAACATGCTAACAAGAAAAAGAGTGTGAGACAAATAAATGACTAAATATTTGGCAAACATGAAAAAGACTTAAATTCCCCAGCAAGACAATCTGTAGGCCGTGCTTATTCATCAAATTTGGTAAGGAGTCCATTCCGACTTGGTCTCAAATTTGGCAACAGCAACTCGTCTCCAGATCACACAGCAACAAAAGACTTATTACTCCCACTGGTGTTCACCTGCAAAACTTAGGTACCATCAAGTATCTACCCAAGTTAACTGGAAAAACTACTATTTACCCTAAAGCTAATATGAGGTGTATAGTCCACACCAATCAATCACATTTCACACTTGGTAATGCAGTTAAAACTATTGGGTATCACTGACAGGGGAAATAAGGCAGCCAATACAGTTCTCTGTCTGTTTAGTGTCTATCAGCCAGCTTACATGATATCAACATGGGCTCTCATTCCTTTGTAAATAAGGACAAATTCTGCATTACTGAGGTAAGTGGTCTCGATCCATTGCCCACAAAGGTTCACCCAGTAACCATTGCTAGGAGCTATGCCTTTAACTGGATATGGACATATCTATACTTCAATACTGCAGTTATGATTAGATGGCTAGACTGAAAGCAACAAAGCTTTCTGCATATACACAGGATGGGTGTAATGGTGCTAGCAATTAATATACAATGTGACCTAGTTAAAATATACTGTAAAAATTCAAATAAACTTTCACTTAACTTCTTTTTGTTAGTTGAGGATGTGATTAAACTATTGTTCTGTAGCCTTAGCAAAAGTCAACAAATTATGACAAAAAAAATAGCAATCCATGTTTGTGCTTATACACATCAGCACAACAAACAGACAGGTATGGCAAACCTACTCCTTTTTCATTTTAAAATTACAATATTTATTTTTATAGTGTACAGAGTGATAATCACACATTTATTACCAATTCTCCCTTGGCAGACACTGAAAATTAGCATTGCAATGCTATTAATAACCCAGGGAACATTAGTCTGGAGCAGCAGAGATTGCTAATAATTATGTAGATTGGTGGAGAACGAGGATAAACAGAGTTGAATTAAAGATGAGCAAACATTATCATGTCCTCAAACAACCGTAGAACTCCTGCAACCAGACTGTCTTCCACCAACCTGCAACTTTGAGTGATGAGTGTGTATTGTTTTTTTGTGGAAATACTAACAGACAGGTGTCAAGAATAAGGAACCGAGATGGGCTTGGGATAGACGGAACGCTAGAGGCTTTTCAGTAAAATGGGGATTAAGAGGGTTAGCGGGCACAGCAGTTGTTGGAGGATGATCCACTGGGTGGTTCGGTGGGCTCCACAGTGATTGATTTACCACCAGGAGGTTCATTCGTTCCACTGTCTGGGAGCTGCTGCCTCGAGACAATGCGATATATTTCTGTGGGAGTAATTTGAATTTTGTTATTAATCTGTAATGCAGTGTTAGAATTTAAGAACAGTATAACAAAATACTAAACAATAATACCATTCTCATGAATTCTACCTAATACTAGTTGTGTTAATACACAAACTTCCAAAATACCAACGCTTTGTTATACATAGATGTAAATGCTCTGGCTTTCATGAATTTACAAACAACAACAAACTAAATAATTATTAACACTTTGGCAGTACAGCCTCTCCGCACATTCCCAACCGTAAATATTTTACATTCCCAAGGGCCCTGCTCAACGATGTGTAATGTGTTTACAATCATTTTGTATTTTCAAAGTTATTTGTTGGCTTATAACTACAGTGCACATTTGGTATAAAAATGTTTGCAAATGAATTCTCTAGAGAACAGGTGCAAAAACAAAAGTGTACTTATCATAGGTTATGCACGACAGCAATGAATGAGCGAATGTTTATGAACATTAACATTCCTCATTTATTCAGCCCAAATAAAAAGTAAAAATATAAATCTGTGTACATGATCAGTCTATACAGATGTAAAAAGGAAAAACTAACTTTTCATTTAGGTAATTTGCAATAACAAAAAAAAATTCTTAAGAGCCATTTTTATCTGCCAGTGGCAAAAATATGTTTACAATAATGTTACCTTTTCCAAGTTCTTTGTTGGGTTATAACTACCCATATAGTGTCAAATTATTTGCAAATGATAATCTAAAGTATAGATGAAAACAAATATTTAAATTATGCATTATTATTCAGCATAACAGTACGAGAGCAAGAAAAACAAAATGTGATGTCAAAAGGCATCGAATTCACCAAGGTGTTTATCGAGCCACAAGTGAATCAAAGGGATATTGGGAAAGCAAAATTTACAATCGTCTTGAAAATCGGGACATTCTTAGAGGCGAGTGACAATGTGGGACAGTGGAGTTGTGACATTGAAGCAGATTTTCATTAAATTAAAGGCCCACAAGTTAGTTGTGTGGGACTAATACGTTACTGAGCCAAAAGCTTTTTTCCACCATCTGTTACAATGGCAGGAATGGGTCATGTTTAATGGAATGCAATTTGGTATTCAGAATAGCCAACTATCTGGCCCTCTAATGGTTGTAGCTTGCATTATGGATGACAGTAAAAATCCGAATTCAGAACCATTTGGAAGATGGGACATCTACAAAGGTTTTTTTTTTTTTAGCAGCCGTAGTGTACAGGTCATTAGCAGTTACACCAATATGGATTCGAAGTCAAATTCAGCAAAATTTGATTGTCTTGTACTTGCTGAAGGTGAGGAACAGTCAGTATTGGATCATAGTTACCATGGGATGGGAAGGGCTATGAGCACACCGAGTCAACTACAATAATAAACATTGGCACACAATAACTTGTGCAGTGTGCAAAATTGCAAGGCTCCATGAAAATGCTAGTCCTTGGGGAAGGGTGGGAAGACAGCACACAGATTTGATAAGGAATAACAATGGAGTATCCAATATCGTCAGCAGACTCTGACCAATGCATAATACAGCAGTAGTGTGCTAGTGCAAAAGAAAATATTCTCAATACCGGTAGTAGTGAAGGTATGCAGGCATGAATGGCGATCTTGTAATGATGTGCCACTGGTTTCTACAGACAAGTCCTGTATGAGGAGTAAATGATGAGCCCCAAAGCTCATGTCCATGCCTGTATGACAATGCATCAAGATAACGAAGGATCACGGGCAAAGCTGATGAATACGTAGGGCAGGCATAGTCCAGTTCAGACAGTTCCTCAGGAATGCAAGTAAGTAATTATAAAAAAAAAAAAAAAAAAAAAACAGGAAGGCTATGTAGCACCATCAAAGTGCGAAATAATCAGAGGGCACTAAATATCACCAAGTATGTCAATACGAGAACAGAAACGCACAAGGCGAACAATATCAAAAGTATCCGATTCACCAAGAATTCTATCGAGGGACAAGTGACCGCGAGGGACTCAGGAATTCAAATACACTAAAGTAGTGTTCATCTATACCTCAAGGAGGTAGGTGCCAAGACAAAATGAGGTAAGAGTCTTTGTGTATTCAGTTTGGAGGTAAAGTTCCACAGGATGGCCAAGACAAGCAGATGTTAAATATCAACCCTAAATATTATGCATTATACTTATGCACCACAGAGCAACAAAGGTGGGGTGAGGGAACAATAGGCCATCTAATAAGTCATTACACAAGTTTTTGTTAGAGAAAATTTGAAGCTTTGCCTGGTATACCAGAAAAGTTAATTTAATCCAAAAACATGCAATCGTTTGTTATCTCCTGTGATGCCAATATAGTCACCTGGTGGCTTGGTTTTTACAACAGTGTTCGAGTCGATTCCTGAACATTGAGACAAATTTATAGCAAAGGAGTATATAAAACTTTCTTTGAGCTGTGCCAGAAGCAGGTATACATATAATACAGGTGTATATATATAACATGATAACCTACGGACAGTACTCGGTTCCTTGTGTGGGCAAAATGAGCTCTTAGCACAAACACTACATGAATTACTCGACAACTGTTCTAACATCCAGAGATGGTATTCGCAGGAGTGTGGGTCAAGAGTACAACGACTTTATATGGAAGCTTTAAGACTAGTAGGTAACGCCATGTATGATGGGCATCGCAAAAAATGAATAGTATACTGTATTTGCAATATTCAATCCAAAGAACTAACAGTATATATCATGACCTTATAATTACTGTATTATTATTATTATTATTATTATTATTATTATTATTATAGCAGTACTATTACAAGATGCATACCTACTCACCCTTACAGCAGCTGTTTCAGTTTCTTTGCTTGTGTTAAACTAATAAAAGTTTATGACCAAAATGAATGTTCCTGAAGATGTCAATATTCACAGGATATTAACATCTAATGTATAAATGAACATCCCATTGTTACCAGATACAAAACATGTGGTGATCTTTGTGTGTACAGTACTAGTATATTTAATATAGGAAACTCATGCTTAATTTCCAGGGTAAAATATAAAAGACAAAATTAAACACTATTTTTGCTACTGAGGCAACATGTAACCATGCCATGCTAGTATAGCAACACTAAGAAGCAGTGTAACTACAACAACTGATCCGACAGATTGTTCCTGTACGACTATGCACTGAAGTCCCGGACTAGACGTTTGTCGAACTCTCAAATCTTGCGAGAATGAATGACTACTGCCATTTTGCTCAAGGAAGATGTAGTGCAATTAAACCTCCAATATCCAGAAAATTAACCTGTGTAATAAGAATTTGAGTGAAATTCAGCTGGATTATTTCCATGCCAATCATCAAGCACTTGTTCATCTTATGATTCTTAAATACACTATCTCATGCACTTAAATGTCTTGTTTCAAACTTCACAAACCATTATGCCCATGATCATGCTGTATGACCCATTATAACATTTTCAGGCAAAGGCAGTTGGAATAAAAGCCATAAGTGAATGTAGCCTGCAGGAAGCCATGTTTGACAGTCATTAATCAAAAAGATAATAAGGTTTGGGATTTCCCTGTAACAAACTGGCAAATTCAACCTTATTATGCCTCTAATTGAAAATATTCACATCTTCAAGTATTTCGGCATACTCTGAGACAGGTTCAACTCGGATGTGTGTAACAAAGCGCAAACGAGGTGAAATAAAGTGCTTAACAGATTTAAGAAGAGCTAGTGCATTAGATCCCTTTACTGGACATTAATGTCGACTCTAACCCTTTGCCCAAATTTCCAGGTGTGAGGAGGAGAAGCTCTCCCTACTGTTGACAACATTGCTTGCGCACACTCTCGGCATTTACAGTTGGCTCCACGTGAATAGCCTTTACATCGGCTGTTGGACTGTCATCGTGGTCATGAGGATCACGGATTTGCTTCTGGGAGACAATCCTGTAAATTTCTAGCCAGCATGCAAAGAATGGGAGATGTGTTAGTCAACTGTTAATATTGCTAACTTGTTATTATCAATTTCCAAACATTCCTTGTTACATTACCTTCATACTTTAGATTTTATTTTAAATGATTTTAGGTGCAAAAATTTCAAGGTTCAAAAGCACTAAATGCACATTATAATCATGCAAGAGCAATACAGATAAATAATTCTCTAGAGGTGAGTATAATGGATAAGAGGCCACTTTCTAATGCCCATCATGCTTAATCCATCTTGTACTAAATAAATTTCACATTTGATTAATAAGCTATCTTTTCAGGTATATGAAAAATAATAAGTTAAAATTAAATACAGTATCCTGATAAAACCCATTTTTATTTCCAATCAAATTTAGATTTTTTGACCTTGAAAATGTATTTGCTTGCAAGAGAGAGCAGTTATTAATGGTATTGTATTATTTAAACAACAACTGACTGAAGACAAATGAACCAAACATTCCAATATAAATTATTAACTATATACATGAAAAACATTCTTATAACAAAACTGGACTAAGGAAAAAACATAAAAGCCATAAAAAGGCTTAAGTCAGTGCCCTGGACAAAGACAAGTATTACACTTGAACACAGTATACAAATTCTCAAGCAATAAACAAAATTACTAAAGTTTTGAAGGCAATCAATAAAGCTAAAAATAATTCAAGATGCAATCAATACCAGTCATGAAACTATATATATTGTAAGACACGTCTAGTAACAATACATCCACGAGAGACTGAACCAGCACCTGCAGTGTTCAAAATGGCAATTCTTCACATACCTGTGAGGATGTTATGGAAGGCTGTCTCTACATTAGTGGAATCCAACGCCGAGGTTTCAATAAAGGACAGGCCCTCTTTCTCGGCAAATGCCTTGGCTTCCTCTGTCGGCACTGATCGTAAGTGGCGCAAGTCTGATTTGTTACCTGCACAATCAGAAACAAATAATTACCTAAACCCCAAAGGCTGAATTATTATTTGTATGCAAGAAACGGTACAGTATTTTCAGAGGAATTGCAGCCACCAAGGGTTATGGCTCAAAGGTACATAATAATACTGTATATTTAATTACAATAATGACTATCAGTTCTTGAAAATTTGATAGTAGAGGTATACCATATTTTTGTTTGCTCTTAATATAATTCAGGGAGTAAATTTGGATAACTAAAAATACAGCATTTGCAAAATATGGCCTGAAACTTAAAATGTTTTAATATTGAGAGCAATGATGCCACATTACTTAATATATTTTAAGTAATAATGTATACTGAATTAGGTAATGATAAAGTTTTGTCTTCCTGGAAGGGCTGAAAGGTGCCCTGGAGCTAGCACCAACCACCCTCGCACGGGTCATGTCAGACTTAGGAGTCTTTAAAAGCCTATTCCTATTACAGTATGTGCATTTGTGTATTAGTATATACTGTATATTTCCTTAATTTTCTTGAGACAAGTGTTGTCACACCACAAAAATGGAGTGGTTAGCTGTCAACCTTGTGGTGGTTGCAAGGATCAACGTCCCCACGGCCTGGTTGGTAGTCTGGTTAACCAGGATGTTGAATGCAATGCTAGCAGCACGAAGCATGAATCACAGCCTGGTCGATCAGGTATGCTTTGGAGGTGTTTATCGAGTAGTCTCTCGACCCCATGAGATGCGGACCAGTTATGCTCCTTGTGTGTAGCAGGAGAATTATGTTGAAAAGTCTTGGGCCTTTGATGCTAACAGTTCTCATAGCATACCTACTGCACCTCAGCATTTCAATGGGGTTATTTTGTACATCCTACCATGCTTACTGGTTTCCAGGTAATGCTATTTCTGTGGGCAGATTTGGCACCAGTTCCTCTAATATTTTCCACGTGTAAATTATCATGTAGCTCTCTCGACTGCGCTCTAGAGAATACAGATTCAGAATGTTTAATCAGTCCTAATAATTTAGAAGTTTTATTGAGTGAATTCTAGCAGTAAAGGATCTTTGCACGCTCTCCAGATCAGCAATTTCTCCGGCTTTGAATGTAGCTGTTTGTGTAAACAATATTTCATGCTAGAATGCACTAGTGTCTTGAAAAGTATCAGTGACATTCCTTCTTTGAAACTTTCTTCTTATCCAACCATAATTTTTCTTGCAGCCATGACAGCTATTTTATTGTGTTCTTTTATTCTTTCTTTGACATGATTAATCCTTGATCCTTTACATTTCTGTTTCGTTCTATAGTGTGATTTGATTGTGTTTTATGTATGGGTTCTGTTTTTATATTTTCATTTTTCTCATAATGCAGAAGCTGGAACTTATTTTCAATAATCATCATATTATCTGTGACCCAATGAAAGGCCTGATGAACATCAGGCTAGAGGTTTGCTGTGTCCTTTATATTGTATATTCTTATCAAAATCTTAGTGGTATCTGCAAGTGATGATACAGTACAGTACTATAGTTTGTACTCTTGACTATGTTTGATACGAGGTTAGAAAAAGTACCATAGCAAGCACAGTACCTTGAGGGAACTGAGCTTCTCATTGTGGATGATCTAGATTTTATGTTAGTTACTGTTACACTCTGGTTCTGTTCATTAGGAAGTTAAATATCCATCTCTCTACTTTGCCAGTAATACCTTATGAGTGCACCATTACCATGGTCACATTTGTCGAAAGCTTTTGCAAAGCTTATGTTTATACCATCTGCATTTTGCTCGTCTTCCATGGCATCTAAGGCTATGTCATAATGATCTAGCAAATGTGAGAGGCAGGACCCTGTTCTGAACCCATGTTGTCCAGGGTTATGTAGATGTGATTCCATGTGATTTGTAATCTTTCTTCTTAGCATCTTTCAAAGATTTTTACGACATGTGAAGCTATTACCTGTTGGATACCTGCTGCATGGGGGTTCTGCGAGTTCTTCTACTCCCGAAGCGCGTCCGACTTGTGAGAGTTGGGGGTCCAACAGGTTGTTGCTTGGAGCAGCCCAAGTTTGTGTAAAGCGATGTGTAAAGTGTCTACAATCATATAATACCCTCCTGTATTAATATGCTAACTTATTGTTTTATATGCTAAATATTTATTGTAATGGTTTGAAAATCAATCTTCATTTTCCAACCAAATATCCTTTAAATATATTCCATCATACACCAGCTAATAAAAAGTAAATGCAAACACTGGTATAAAGTGGAAGAAAGAATGAGAACAAGAACAATTAAAGATACGTACAGGAAGTAAATATATAGGTGCAAGGAATGACACAGTACAGTATATTACTATACTGTATTTGAACTCGGGCAAGACTAAAAATGCTTGGAGGAGGCTACACATGCCACTACTCTGTTGAGAATATTACATTAGATATACAGATGCAGATAGATAATCAAGCTCTACAAATAATTATATTGTAATAACTTACCTACAAGCATGATGACAATATTTTGATCAGCATGGTCTCTAAGTTCTTTCAGCCAACGTTCTACATTGGTATATGTGAGCAGTTTGGCAATATCATACACCAAGAGAGCACCCACGGCGCCCCTGTAGTAGGCCGAGGTGATGGCCCGATACCTTTCTTGCCCTGCAGTGTCCCAGATCTGTGCCTTTATGGTCTTGCCGTCAACCTGAGCAACGAAACACCACACAGGCTTAACTCTAGAACTATTTTAGGATTGCTCTAAGAACTTTAGAAACAGGATTACTTTGAACCTTGTAAAATGTTAGTTATTTATACTCACTTCCATAACCTAATTGAAGGATTAGCATTAATGTAAATTGTTTCTACAAAACAACATTCTTAAATAGAAAATATTCATCAAATTATAACCTTTGTTAAAAGAAATTACAGTAAATATAAACTAGGCTATAGATCATGTAGGAAATGCTGTTAATTATGCTAGCTTTTAGAAGCAGCTATAATATTAGTCAACATGCATTAAATATGACCTAAGTAACTACGTAATAACAAAATTGATCGTGCTACAATCTGGATCATTACATTCACTGGCTTTGGTTTATCACCACATGCAATAACAGTGATTTATAGTTGTGGTAAGCAGATGATCCAAAATGTCACCTACTAGGTAATGCTATATCAAAAAGTGGAAATTCCTGAAATTAAATATTTATAATTTTCCTTTGGTTATTATGTTTTTAGCTCTCAGGCCAGAGTACTGGTAACTCCATTACACCTTACATCAGTATTGTTGCTATTTGGTAAATATACCTCCTAATGCCTACTGTTTTTGGTCTACATTTATAAATTCCTTCAAAATTTCACCAGAGGTTATTTTATAAATCAACTGTAATGGGAAGATTCCCATTACCAATGGGGATAAGGAGCCAGTGAAGTAGGTATAAGAGGGATCAACCCCAGGAATCTTGTGCGACTGTGCACCCAGATTTTGTATTCACCTAGTTGTGCTTGCGGGGATTGAGTTCTGGCTCTTTCAACCCGCCTCTTAACTCTCAATAAACTTTTTCCCCCCCACACACCCCCCTCTCCAGGAAGCAGCCCATAGCAGTTGTAACTTCCAGGTACCTATTTACAGCTAAGTAACAGGGCATCAGGGTGAAAGAAACTCTGCCTATTTGTTTCCGCCATCACCGGGGATTGAGCCCCGGACCTCGGGATTACGAGTCCCGAGCGCTGTCCACTCAGCCACCAGGCACCTTCGGTATTCTTGCACTTGTGTTTCTGGATTCCCCATAGCTTTGTGAAGCATCTGCCTTATGCACATTGCACACAATTGCAGTCAGGAAAAAGCAGTATTACCACACACCCCTTTAGTTCTCAAAACATTTTCTCAAATTTATATGATAAAGAGTACTACTGTACAGACATATTTCTTAATTTATCTCAATTGAGCCTAATGTTTAGGGGTTGTTTAGTATACAGTAATTACCTTTTATATTTCACTACATTAAGCAGGCTTTAAACTAACTACTGTTACCACAGTAAAGACCATTAAGAATAATCAGTCATCACTGAAAGGTTCCTAGTCAAGTCTCCATGTTTTAAAAAGCTAACTAAAAATGAATACCTTATTGGAATAGGAAAAGAGGAAAGGGGCTATACATAATTGACTTACAATTTAGCAAGTCGAGGTGTTAATACTGGAAAGAAAATTAACATGTATTTACTACACTCAAATTCAGAAACTTCTTATTATGCACGAGCATCATGCATGTCGTTACTACAGGGGAGTGAGAAGGTTACCTGGGTCGTGTTCAAATAAGATGACTGATTGCAAGCCATTATATATGCATGACTAAGACACTGAAAGCTGTTGTATTAGCAAGATTTTATAACAAACTGGAAGCGTTACATTTGGGGCACAACCAGCGACAATTGGGTAAATACCAAAAGTAAAGAAAGATGTTTTGATTTGACAAATTAATCTTGGATGTAATACTATACAATTTAATGACTTGTTACTGTCCCTCCAAATTAAATTACATTAAACATGACCATAATGATGTTCATGATTTAAGGTTCGGGACAAGGGGGTGGTCGAAAAGCAATCGCCCCGAAACCCCAGCAAGACTAGAAGGCTACACTGCCTCCACTGACGATGTGGGGTGGAACCAGCTGTGGAGAAAGCAAAGCTCCAATGTCGAGGTTGGTCTTCACTGGTTGTATTCTGCATTTTCTTCCAAATCGTTCACTCCAGTAAGTTGTTATTTTACTGTCTAGATTTGGGACCTGGCTCTCTAGTATTTTCCATGTACATTATATATTATTCGATATCTCTCTCGTCTCCTTTCTAGAGCATACATTTGTAGAGCTTTGAGAGATGACCCTAATTATTTAATAATTTAGGTGCTTTATAGTATCTATGTATGTACTGTAATGTATTCATAAGACTCGACTGAAATCGGTTTAGTTAAACAAAAAATTGGAATGAGTAGCATGCTTGCTTCAAAGCACTGAATATGAGCAGGATAAGAGGCTTCTTGTGTTTTATCTATATACATGGCAATAGAATTACAAAAAACTAATAAATATCCTAGTACCATACCAAAGAATGGCCCAATTTGTTTAATTATAAAAAAGCATAGCTACAGGATATGAACAATTAGGATCTAAGATTGTTTTATGTGATAAAGTAATATTCTTCACTGTGAACATAAGCCATGAGCATCAGTAGTAGCATCTTACCTCTATGCTGCGTGTGGCAAATTCAACACCGATGGTGGACTTTGATTCAAGGTTAAATTCATTCCTTGTAAATCTTGAAAGAAGATTACTCTTGCCAACACCAGAATCTCCAATTAACACAACTGTGAAGAAATGTCCATGTTAGGGAAAACAATTCAGACAAAAATTACTTAAAATGCAGGTTACGGCAAATACACTTACTGTACATAGGAATGAAAGCTACTGTTCAATAATTATTTTATGTTTAAAAAACCAGCGTTGAATGTAATGAAATGCCAACTTCCGGGGAAGTCCCGTGGGCTCCCTGAAGTTACATTGCTCATACAGTGCCATCAGACACAGAGTTCTTTTAGGCTTAATGGGGAACACGAGTCAAAACCTGGCCTCTTCTAAAGAGGTGCAGAGAGCAGTGGCAATATGATCAAATTGTAAATAAATTTCTATCATGTCTGCCACCATTGTGGAAGCACCCACAAAGTCTGCAAGACAAAGAAAGACCACCACTGTTGGTTATAAGGAAATATCAGTGTCTCTAAACTCATCAAAAGAACGTACGAAATAATGTAAACAATCAAAAAGTTATAAAACTAGTGCAAAGCTCATTTGCCCCACCTCCCCCCTCTTATTTGGGGAGAGAAGAGAGGTAGATCAGGTCAGCCAGCTAGTCAGGTCAGCCAGTCAAGGCCGGGCTTGACTTGTGAACTCCTAGAACCCAGTTCAGGTATACACAATTACATACAATTGCATTTGGTAAGCCTGTTCAACACCATAGACCTGGGCTAGTGACAGTAGTTAGGCGACAATACTGATAAACGAGCCTTTGGCTAGGGGAATCTTGATAAGCTTAACAGGCTTCCTGTTTATGACCGAGACACTGTACCACTTAGTAGAACAGGTCAATACAGGTACCAACCAGACATTTTGCTCTTTATCAGGGTCACTGGTATATGAAACACAACCACATAAACCCATGAACATAGTATTGTGTAATGGTACTGTACAATTACAAGAATAAAGATAATTTACCTATTCTACTGCTGAACAAGGTTTTATCTTGACCTAAAGAGGAAAGCTATGCAGTTGTAAAAAAAATTACTTGCACCAACAAAATCAGTGCCTTAATTATAATGCTTATTAATTTTTGTGCAAGATAGGGCATTTCTTTTTGCCTATGTTCATCTAGCAGTAAATGAGTATCTGGGAGTTACACAATTATGGGGTTGCCGTCTGGGGGAAGGTTAGTAGTTTGACCTCGGGTGGAGAGGAAAGTGGGGACCTTGATACAGCCTAAAGTATACACAGGCTTCCTGTCCCCAATAACATGACTTGTATAACCTAGTAAGAGTACAGTAATAAGCATTTAGCATTACTGTACAGTCACCAGTTGATACCAGTAGGTATTCATACTTAACTAACAAAGTACTGTACCTTTAAACAATATAAAGTTTGTAGTCCACAAAAATAAGAAAAATTATCAAATGTTGACTATAAAACAATGACAAAACCCAAATGATGCACACACCTAGAGTGGGGTCTAAGAGGGAGGGAGGAAGGAAGGGAATTATCAGGGGTAAAGTCCCAAGCCACTACAACTATATAGCACTGGGAAGGGGTCAGGATAAGAATTTGGGATGGAACGAGGGAAAGGAATGGTGTTCAGCTACTTGGGAGGTAAGGGATTGAATGCCAACCTGCATGAAGCGAGACCGTTGCTCTACCGTACAGCCCAAGTGGTTGGACATCATTCTTTTCCCTCCCCATCCCAAATCCTTATCCTGACCCCTTCCAAGTTCTATATAGTAATAATAATATAGTAATAATATAGTAAAGTTACTATATAGTTCTATATAGTAACTACACAGACCTCAGGGTATCCACTGACATCCCTGCAACACTGGCCTGCCTACCTCTGCAATGATAATAATTTTACATGCGGTACTGTATAGCCTTAATCCAGTCTGACCGATTATATAGAATCGACAACTGGATCATTTATAGGGAGCCGGTCGGCCGAGCGGACAGCACGCTGGACTTGTGATCCTGTCGTCCTGGGTTCGATCCCAGGCACCGGCGAGAAACAATGGGCAGAGTTTCTTTCACCCTATGCCCCTGTTACCTAGCAGTAAAATAGGTACCTGGGTGTTAGTCAGCTGTCACGGGCTGCTTCCTGGGGGTGGAGGCCTGGTCGAGGACCGGGCCGCGGGGACACTAAAAGCCCCGAAATCATCTCAAGATAACCTCAAGATGGCTTTGTGTTTATCCTTGTTAATTCCCTCCCTCTTAGACCCCACTCTGGGTATGTGCATCATTTGGGTTTTGTCATTGTTTTAGTCAACATTTGATAATTTTACTTATTTTTGTGGACTTTACAAACTTTATGTTGTTTAAACATATGGTACATTGTTAAGTCCAAGAGCTGCCAAAAGATATTTCCAGATACATCACTACTTTTAAAACAAACCTACCTTACCTTGCCTAACCCATCATATCCAATCTGAAACCTAATAAAAATACAAAACTGTGTTTGATGTATAGTGAGCATGAGGTCTACAATGCACTGCAGCATAATAAGATTTAATTATAGGCAGTTATTAATGCTTCTGCACACACTGACCTACATTTTTGAGGTCACTTACACATTGACCCCTGACCTATATTTTTAGGAGTAAATTAATTTTTGTTTTTATTTGCCTAATTGTCAGCTAGACAATGACTGGCATTATTTACAGCATGTATTAACCTATATGTAAAGGCCTATTGTACAGTACTACATTTCCTTTACTGTCTCGTAGTACAGTTGGCTTCGTTCGACTCAACAGGGATTCCTGGGTTCAATTCCCAGGAGGGAGTGAAATAGTTAGGCATGTTTCCTTTCACTTAATGCATCTGTTCACCTAGCAGTAAATAGATACCTGGGAGTTGAGCAATTGCTGTGTGGTTGCATTCTAAAGATAGTCAGTAATTTGACCTTGGTAGGGGGAGGGATTGCTATATGCCTAATGTATTTTATTCATACATACACAGGCTTCCTGTCCTTGACAAAACTATTACTTTAGAGGGCACAAGAAAAGCACCAACCAAACCTTCCTAAGGCTAGTACAGCATATTTGTACTAAATTAGGCCTAAGATGGTTCTAAAATTGCTTATTTAAGCATAGGACAGGTTAAATTGAATAATTACTGTTCATTTTTTAATTGTCCTTGGGTTATTCCAACAGTAATAAAATTTTGTACATTCCACAAAAAGTTGCTAAATGTATTATCCTTTTTGGAGGATGAGCTGGAGCATTGAGAATCTGATGAAGTCAATTACCACGAAGGATTACAAAAAAAATACTGAATGCTATGTTGTTTTAGATTTAGCTACTCAGAACAAAGTGCCCATGTAGCACGGGCTATGGTGAACCCGTAAAAAAGTATATTCACTTACATTCCGAGAAAATATATATATATTGACAGGACAGTACAATGCACCTCTCCTGAAACTAGAATCAATGCAACAAAAGGTCTATATCTATCCAGTATAGTATTAATAAAATTGAAGTAACTAAAACATTGACTAATGTATCATGTACGACCTTAACAATACATCTATGACTCAACAGGACACACACGACCCCTATGGCCAAAAATACCTTAGGCGTGTACACAAGATAAGGGTGATAGCTTCTAACTTTTGTACTACAAGTTTACTGCTATAAAACCTAACTTTCCCTGAACAATGGGGTAAACACGCCGCCTCGAGTGCATCATAGAGTGCACCATCCAGAGTGCATAGTGCTAAAATAGTGGTTAATAAAATACGTGACGTGTCGTCACTTGACCGATAAACGATGACGTCGATCAGCTGATTTGTGTCAACTAAGAGGGAGTGGGCGGATACAACCTCCCTGAAATCTATAATACAACAACAACCACCCAGACAAATACACCGCATACAATACTCACCCTTGAATAAATAATCATACTCATCGTCCCTGTTCCCCATCTTTCACGGGTCAAATATCAAAAGGTAAACAAAAGTTGGTCTTGGGAGATGGGGGGGAGGTTCAACCACTCACACAACACACCCGAACCGGCTAATCACAACTGTTCTAGCACCATCAAGCAGATGAACCTATGAGCAACCATCAACGACGCTTTGCACCGCGCTCGAGAGCAAGATGTCGCGGAAAAGAGGCGATCAGAGAGCGCGGGTTGGTGCTGGCGGTAAACTAAGATGGCGAACCGTTACGCCTGTGGGTGTGCGCAGGGTAGTGGGTGAGGGCGCGCGCACGCCGCCACGCGCGCCCTGGGGGATTCGATCCCTCTCACCAGCCACTAAAAGGCGATTAGATTGTTGTTGTTCATCCTCATAATCCTCTCCGCCAGTCTCCAATCCTATCACGTCTTACTGTAAAAATAAAATAACAAAAATAATACTATAATAATGTTGTGAAGAGAAAGACCAAGTTATATATTACAGGGAGATATATCACTCTATATAACACTATATCTCACGAATTCCTTATCCCATCCGTGACTTTAATACATTACATGGCAACTATAAAGCTCTGTGTCAAAAATAAACAGAAAAGGTTCGAATGTTTAATGAAATTCCTTAAGTTAGTAACAGATTAGCAACAACTAATATTTATGGATTTATTTTCTATTGGGATTTATATTTATTAGAACGTACAATGGGATTTGTACACACAAAAAATATTGGTGTGTAAATTGTGCATTCTCATCTCATCTACGAAATGTAAATTATATTTTTGTATAGAATAGGTGACGTTTTTATTTTATTAACAAGCTTAGTACACAACAGTGGTCTGCTGATATTATATTCTGTATGATGGGTTACAGGGTATAGGTCAATATTCTTATCTCGTAATGCCCGAAACGCTGTGCGTATTAGTGGCTTTAGGCATAGTAATATGTACTAGCTACATATAATAATATGTACTAGCTCTATCTAGAAATCCAACATTCTGTTTGTAAATAATTTTGTATTTATGTACTTTTACCTGAATAAATATTTATTTATTTATTATTTATGAAAAAGGTACACTTTAATGTGATATGTCCTTCACTCTGCTCGTCTCACTTTATACCTATTTATTTATTTATTTATATTTATAATAGTAATACTATTTACTATCTAATACTATCGCTATATAACCAAGGGTATCTGTACATGGGGTTCAACCTCTGCAAACTACCTCAAACCCATCATCACCCAGCAAAAATAAGCTATCAAAACCTTTGCAATTTGTCTTTAGACAACACACAGTTCCTCTGTTTAAATCCTTCAATATGCTAAAATACACCTCAATGCACACATCTCTTGTACTAATTTGTACACTTATAAAGCCTTTCCCTCGATTTTAATCCTGTTTTGAAATTTCCGAGATGGATTTGATAGAACTCGGGAACATTACACTATATTTTATATATTTTTTATTAACAAGCTTAGGTACACATTTAATATGCTGGTGTACCTTCTATATAATTAATATAAAGTATATTGCAAACGCTGGCTAGAGCACAAGAATATCTTCCAATATTGGTGAGTATGAAGTAGTTACAGAGCTCAAAGTACTGTATCTCATACCGTTTGGTCTGAAGTTATTGATGACACTCACAAATATAATAGTTAGAGTCTTGTTCACATAGTTTATCACTGAAATGCTCACTCACCATTGAGGGTAGGAATCTTTACCTGTAACCATCTGCCATAATTTACCTGATTTACCTGAGGGCCACTATCTCTTCAGTGGCCTCGACGAGGACAGGAAACCAGCGGCTTGTCGAAGGTACCCCCTCCCCATTTGTCCAGATGATTCTGCCCACATTGATTTTGCAATTCGGCAGCGTTTTGGCATTTATGGTTTCCGCAGGTAGGCGGTTCCATAGTTTATAACTGGCGTTTTGTAATTCTTTGTAATGCCTTCACATATATTAGAAGATATTCTCATGTACCTTACCCAGGTTTGCTATAGTGCGGAGACTTGCATTCCATCTAGTTATTTAAGTATTTATTTATATACAAGAAGGTACAATAGGTTGCAAAAAGTAAATTTGATGGTAATTAAGTGGTACATTCTTGCAAAGCCAGTAATGAGCATAGCGTCTCAGGCAGGTTCTAATTGAGGTATCGTTTCTTCAATGCTTGAACCATCCCAGTGAGTTTGTTTTTTGTGGTAAGTTATGTGGTAACTTCTTTATAGAGCTGCAATCAATATTTTCGGACCAGAATTGACCTACTTGATAAATCTAATTATTGTTCATTTGAATTCAGTTTCGTACGTGTTCTATCATGGGGTAATATGTTCAGCACCTTATTTTTATCAGCCTTGTTTATTCTTTTAGTTTGCCACTCTCCATAGTGTATAGTAGGTCACTGGAGACGGGAGACCTACCAGAAATATGGAAGACGGCTAATGTGGTCCCAATATACAAAAAGGGTGACAGACAAGAGGCACTGAACTACGTTAATTAATTTCTGCACTTCAGTCTAGTTCCCTTTCTCTTGTTCTACCTTTCTTAGTGAGGGCAGTTTAGGCTACTAACGACCGCTCTTATCTTATCGCTCTGTGGTGCCAGGTATAAAGTACTTCAACAGAATTGACATACATTCTATAGTTTAGCGTTTACAGAGCTATGGTAATGTATTTGTTAGCCTGTTAATTTATTTGAAGGGGAATTAGCAGCATTAGTTACAATAGCGTACAGTGCAATGGCTTCAAATGTCAGTGATGTGTCATTATGTGTAGGTGGTCCTTAATTGTTCCAGTTAGTTTACTTAACGGCTGAACTGTGTTGTTCAGGTGAAAATCAAGGCTGTTTAACTCATAGAAATATATGTTAACATGTTGGAGAACACAACCCACGTGATTTGAGCAGAATAATTAGTTTAGCTAAGCTAATTTGACCAACAATTAATGGATGGACTTAAGTCCATACAATTTAATTTGTCACGTGCATGTAATATGGTTTCAGTGGTGTGGTGGTAGCGGTAGAAACAATATTAGTAGACTAGTCATTACTATAATATTTTCCTTGTCTCGTTACAGGGATGCAATCATTGGACTTACAACTGAGAGACTCGGGTTCGATTCCTGCAGTAGGACAGAGACCGTTGGGCAAAAATAATAATGAATTACTATTTTTAGATTTCGAACTAGAGTTTGTATATTTGCAATTGTGGTTGTGTAAGGATATACAGCATTGTTCTTGAGTTATATCCCAAAGTATCCTTTAGATTTTGTCTATCCTCGAATCACCTACTTAAAACAACATTCTTCCAAGGATGGAAGTCTTCTTTCTTAAGGTCTGGAGTAATCTTTATATGATCAGTGGACGCCTAGGCCCATGGAGCATTGAGCGCACACGCGTTCCAATTGATTAACAGTTGAGAGGCGGGATCAAAGAGCCAAAGCTCAACCCCCGCAAGCACAACTAGCACACACACACACACACACACACACACAACACACACACACACACACACACACACACACACACACACACACACACACACACACACACACACACACACACACACACACACACACACACACACACTAGCCTAGCCTTGAGCTTGATCTTCAAGTAATCGAGGCCACAATAACAATTGTTTCCAGTCATGAATAGACCACAATGATATACAAAACTGAAGACAGTGTCCTAAACTTTTCGAGCGTCAATTGACATTGAAATGCTTCTCTTTTAGACCGTTATTGAAATACATTTATTAGCATTTTGACATTAAGAAAATTAGGTAACTCCGCATATTTTGGCTGCCCTAACTATTTGGAAGTACACACAGAAATCACAATAGCCTGATATATCACGCTATTGTAAGTCGTGGCACAGTTGACTAAGGCGCAGCTGGGGGACATCCCGTGCGTAGGTTCGAATACTCATCACGGCCCTCGTGGATTTGTTCATTTATATGGAGGTTTCAGAAGTTTGTTAAGCACTGACTGTGTAACACCAAACTCCCCCATCTGGAGGGACCAAATAGTTGACTACAGTTGACTTATAACGTATGGAATACCTATTTACTGCAAGGTGAACAAAGGTATCAGGTGAAGGGAAACGTTCCCTCAAATGTTTCAGTCCTGACAATGGAAATGAACCCGGAACCTTTCGGTTGTGTCCCGACTGCGCAGACTACTGCGCGACTTTACGTGTACATGTATCATTATATTCATCATCCCACAGCGTCAAGGGCTTTATCGAACTACCACCACTTTCTCAAACCCAAGGAGAGAGACATATTTTTAAATATTTCAAATATTTGGTTAACTACTAACAACTACTTTTTTGGTTAACTACTAATCTCTCTGGACACCACATGGGCACTCGTGGGCACCCATGGCCACCACACTAAAGACAAATATACATTTGATATTCCAAGAGTGCGACTTAACCACAGCAAAAATGCTCTGCAAATCATGGGTCCCCAAAATGTGGAATGACCTCCCTAATCACAGCGAAGACTGTCCTTTTCTTAACCAGTTTAACAGAGAAACTAAGTACTACCTGATAAACTCTATGTAACCTACATTTCTAGATATGGACGGTAGAGCGACGGTCTCGCTTCATGCAGGTCGGCGTTCAATCCCCGACCGTCCAAGTACTTGGGCACCATTCCTTTCCCCCGTCCCATCCGAAATCCTTATCCTGATCCCATCCAAGTGCTATATAGTCGTAATGGCTCGGCGCCTTCCCCTAATAATTCCTTCCTAGATGTCAACCTATGCTTTGCTGTTATTGAGCTTTAATTACTGAACTTGGTCTACTGCTGTTATCTGCCATGTAGAGTCCGTCCTCAGAGCAAATCCATTACCATGAGAAACCACACCCCTTGTCAAATTACCTGGATAGTTATTTAGATATTTGTGATGGTCTGAAAGCATATTACAGTGTTAGTCTACATGTAAATTGGCAAGTGAACGCTTGTCCTAAACAGATTATTCTCAAGTTATTACTTTACTGTATTATAAATTATTTATTTAAAATATAAAGAGTAGATGCTGACATCGTTTGTTTAGTTTTTGAAGATTTTGGTTTTCTGTAAACAGAATTCTCGGGAAAACTGAAATAGTTTTCGAAATCCCTACTTTACATTGTCAATAATACACCGTATTAACGTAACCAAATGTAATAAAACCTAACCAAACCATGGATAGAGAATAGATAATAGCACTAATTATGTAGTCATTATCAATCCATTCCCGTGAGCATATTTCCTCCGAGGACAGGTTGTATTGAAAACATTAATGGATAATTGTATTCCTTCTGTTTATACAGTAAAATTATATATTTTTACTGTTCTAATCATCGTGTAATAATTGTCATTTTGTATTGAACTACCTCAGTTCATTATTGTTTTTGTTCTAATTTAGTTTTAAAGTTTTAAGTCTTAGTTTTTCACCCATTTTATGCGGGGAAACTGAACGTATTAGTGGCTTTAGGTATTGTAGGTAAGCCGCTCTACCCATAAGTCATACAATCTTCTTATAATCTATGTATGTATGTACTTTTGCTTAAATAACAAATATTATTATTCACATTCTAGTATGTTACATTATAATTAAGTAAATATAAATTGTTAATTCTAGTACGTTAAAAATTTATATCTTTGCCGATTATTAAGAGCCTAGCCTGATGACAGGTTGCTCTAAATATACTAAACTTTTAATTTACAAGAGAAAATTATTAAGATTACATAAACCCACGAATAATTATTACTCTAAAACAAAATATTGTCTTACTATTCCCAACGTAATTAAGTGGACTCGGGGATTCGTCAGTGAAGGTGAGCCGGAAGGCACACATGGTAAGGCGGTCCGCGTGCTGACTCTTCCACCGGTACACCGCTGTATTCTGCAGCTGTGCACTACTGTATTCTGCAGGTCTCGCACTATATATTCCGTGAGCAGTGTCTCGAGTACTTGGAATACGGTTGGCGACACGACCAGACACAGAGAGTGGAGCGACTGCTGGACCGCTGATTTTACCTGCTCCCAGACTTGCCTCTTCTGAAATTACTCCACGTTGCCACCTCATATATTTATGTACTACTTTCTGGCCCTGTATATTTATGTACTACTTTCTGGTTCTTATACTACTGCTACTATGAATAATAATTATACTAGTTTGTTGCCTTTGTTATTATTGTTATATTTGGTAATTATATAGTTTGTATTTTTTGCATAATTATTTACATATTTGGTTGTTGCAAGCTAGAAATGCATTCTTCTTGTAGGACGAAACTATCTGTAGGAAGATCTTGTCTTCACCTGTGTATATATTACTCTTTTTAATCAGATGAAGTTATAGTGCATTAAATTTATTGAAAATTATTTTATCATTAGCCAAATAATAGTTTTACGAAATGTTTTAAATGTTTTAGTGACATATTTTGGATCGCCAATTTGTTGCAAAATCTATTTTCATAATTTTTAATACCTGTAATGATACGAGTATCGAAATTGCTCAGTTAGTAGAAAGAGAACATCTATTTGAGTTACTGTGCAGCACCTCTCGTTCAGTAGGTTATTCTCGGGTGAAGATAAACATATTGGATACTTATTTCTAGATTTTATAACATACGCTCTGACCAACCACTTAATTATATTTTGGAAATACAGCAATGAGTTGGATGCATTCAACTTGTCCTAATAAATGCCTTGTTCTTTCTTTGATTTTATATCATAACTTGGTAAGATCGTGGGTCCAAAGCTTCAGACACACTTCAGTTCAGAAGTGTGTCTTCCATGTTCGATCGAACTTATGAATTTGCAAGGATTTGTGCAGCCAATAGTACATGAATGATACCTGGAATGTAGACCGACAGCAAGGTAGTCATGAAGCTTTAAACCACCCACGTTCATTTAGGTATAAAAGGCATATTTTTAGTGACAGTTCAGCCACTTCCTATTGTGAGCTGTGGTTCTGCGATATGAGCTTCACCATGACATGTGATGGTGATAGTGCGACAATTTCTTCCGCAGTTTAAGTTCAAGTACGTTTATTGAGACAATAACATACATCTCAAAAGATAGAGAAGCTTAGGGTAGTTCTTCCGCCGTCAAGAGCAGCCGCCACGAGAGTATGTATACCTGTTGGAGCAGTGTGAATATATTGATGAATACAGGGGTGTGAATAGTGTGACTAAAGTCAGCCTACATGTGCCTCTTCGTCTCCACATAGAGGCGCCGCAGCCTACAATACAATCTTTTGTCAATTAGGGTAAGGTATTTTCTTAATAGCGCCACTTCTAAAAAAGAAAAAAAAAATATTTTTAACACTACACTTTCTTGCCTCTAAAACAAAAAGATAGATAAAATTAAATATTAAAATTTAGGTGAAATGAACATGACTATTGACAAGTCCAAATTTTGGCTTATCTTTGCTTCGATCCTGGTTATATGTAATAATATGGTAACTTTGATTGGATTAATTTTTTGTTAACCGCACAGTATATTCAATGGGTTTAAAGATATAAGGTTTCATGTATTTTCTTATGTAGATCAGCTGCAGGCGCCATGTCTGTGAGTGTGGGCAGACGACAGACTGAATTTATGTTTTATTTTCCAGATTCTGAGACGATTCTGAAGACAATTATTATTGTATAAACCCCCTGGAGCTGCAGGAGGGCCATCGTGACCCGGGATACTCGGTCGTTGGTATAAGTTTAGTGATGAAAATCGTGTGTGGTAAAGATTGCCCGAAACGCTATGCGTATCAGTGGCTTTAGGTATTGTATTAGCTCTATTAATAAATCCATTATGTTTGTAAATCATCTATGTATGTACTTTTTCTGAATAAAAAACTGAATTTGAATTTGAATTTCAGCTTGAATGTGCGTTGAATAAAAATATCGCTGGGATGGAGGCTGCACACTGATAGCGACCATGTGTAGGACGAGTTAGTTCACGATGGTTGTATTCTGCGAGAATCGTGGGGGCTCAGGCGTGGCGATAGTAGTGAGGACATTACAATAACGAATGGTGTGTACTGAAGGGTCATGACCCGGCCACCTCAGCTACCTCGCAATACTCCGAGGCTGAATATCGCGAAGATTGTGTGATGTGATGTAACGTATGTATAGTGATGATGGGTTATGTAGTGAAGATCATGTAGAGCGGAGGTTGGCGACCGCTCAGTGAGAAGAATGTGAGGCGTTCTGAGAAAAAAAAGAGATGAGGCAGTGTTAGTCCATGCGTGGCTGTCACCTGGCGACATTAGTGACCTCTGCTGCATGACTACAGCTAAGAGCAGCGGGAAGCGTGATCTTAGTGCAAGCCACTGAGGTTGCCACGATATCCACTGCCAACCACAGCAATTACCACTGATAGTTCGCAGATCTATCAATGATCAACAGCATCCCTCACCGTGTCACGTGTCACTAAAACATCACTATCAGCGGATCTATATGCCTTATAGCGCAGTAGAGACGCGCGCATGCCTACATGGCAGGGTGAAGATCACCAAGAATGATGCACAAGAAACTGCGCGTAGAAGAATCTCGGCGAATTCCTGAGACAGCACAACAAACTGGATATATATAGAAATCTTAAGAAAGCGTGTGCATGTATAGAAATCTTGAGGTTTATAAACCTGTATACTACTAGTTGAACACGAGCCGCAATTGTGAATTACACAGGCAGTTAGAGAACATCAGTGGCGAGTGGACCCAGAGGACTCTTGGGCAAGCAATAGGGCTGTCATTGCATCAGGAACCACGGCTAGTAATTGATTGTTGCCCCCAGCGGCGGGTAGTTTATTGTGGGCCCCACAATCATCCTGAGTGGTAGTTTATTGTGCATTGTTTTGAATTGAAAACCGCCTCAACTCATCCTGTGAGTGACAGTTTGTTGTGAACCCCATACTCATTCTGTGAGTGATAGATTACTGTGCATCCTATAATCACCCTGTGAGTGGTAGTTTATTGTGCACCCCATACTCATTCTGTGATAGTTTATTGTGTACCCCATACTCATTCTGTGATAGCTTATTGTGCACCCCATACTCATTCTGTGCGCGATAGTTTATTGTTCACCCCATACTCATTCTGTGATAGCTTACTGTGCACCTCATACTCATTCTGTGATAGCTTACTGTGCACCCCATACTCACTCTGCCCGGAGTCACTCCCAGATAAGCGGTGTTAGGTAAGCATTGCGCTGCTCCCAGCTCTTGCTCAACAATCGCCAGCACGATGCTCACCTCTCTCATTACACAGTGAGTCACGCGTGTTACATCAGGGTGGGGGAAGGGGGGATAAGGATGGGGGCAGGAAGATAAGGACGATGGGAGGGGAGATAAGAATGGGGGGGGGTAAGAGAAAGTTGCAATCCATTATAAAGATTTGGTGAATGGTTAGGTTAGGGAGAGCCGGCTGAGCTTTATGGAGTAGAAAACGTCTGTGACAGAATATATCTAAAAGTTAATTGTTTGTTAATTTATGATTGATGATGGTGTGTGTGGAGGCGGGGATGCTGTCGTCCTTGAGGTCTCTCCACCTACTAACAAGGATCACCTTGAGAGTAATGCCTTGATGCACGCAGCGTTTAACCCTTGTCCACTTTTGGTTGCATCGCAGATTAAATGCTAGATTTTGACCCAAGCGTGACTCGTGATATTAACAAAATACCGTCTGAAACATATGCAAAACTATCAAATGTTCACGCCACTTACAAGACCCTAGATGAAGTGTTTTCTTCAGAAAACTGTAAACAATCTACACAAGACCAACCCTCGAGTATGCAACTCTGGCCTGGCGTGCCCACCTAGAAAAGCAGAAATTGAAATTTGGGAAAGTTGAAAGATAGTCAAGAAGGTGGAGGAAATATGAATAGATAACATTCAAATGATAAGCGGAGAGACGAGACGACGGCCGGAAAATACACCCAGAGCTGTGGACACGATACGTCGAATAACATTTCAGTATGATAATTGCATTTAAATGGAATGGTTAGAGCCCCTAGAATTGTTGAAGTAAACAAATATCTTACAACATAGGACGAAAATCTTCAGAAATCAAAGTCATTGCATTAACTGATCAGAAGTTGGAATGGTGAGGTAGAGGAAATAGTGTTCTACGCTGCAAATATCAATTTTAAGGATGGATCCCATCTTGACTATATAAAAACATTCAAATACCTTTGCCTTGAGGTCCCACTGTAACCAGACTGACGTCGGTATAAAGAAAAATGTAAAAGTTCTCAAGGTTGAGGCATAGTATCTCTCAAGCTTTGGTGCAAATGTCACCGTTAAAATGATGATATCTTGTTAAATGAAGCCCTGAGGATTATGGTTGCTTGCTTACATACTTACAAAATACTTAATATATGGAAGGAATGAAATTCAGAGCGGCATTGATCGTGTAACTAAAAAATTCTCAAATTGGTGTCAAAATATTTAGTATAGCGCAGCCTATCCTTTGCACAAGTCTTGCAGACCTTTACTGAAGGTCAACATTGTTCAAAATGGATTACTAAAACTGCAAGTGAATTCAGAATGTACTAGATTCACAATCTGTAACAAGAGGCAAGAACAGCACTCACCTGCACTGTGGGAGATTATCCCTTTTAAAATAAAAAAAATAAAATGTTTATTCAGGTAAGGTACATACATACAAGTGATTTTACATAAATTGATAGATTTATAGATAGAGCTAGTACATACAATGCCTAAAGCCACTATTACGCAAAGCGTTTCGGGCAGACCCAGACCTTTAAATTCTAATCCTTCGCTTCCCACCCAATAGGCACATCGAAGAGCAGCCTAAGCTTTGTCTTGAGGCATTTTTTGTATTACCCTATTTGGGTACAGGTGTATTTATGTAGCAACCCTAGACTATATGATTGGGAGGATTCCCCGTTGTACAGTCGGGTTCGTACTTGACTTACATTCCTGAATTCAGGGTTCGAAACCCGGGCAGAGCAGAAATCGTTCAATTATTTTTTTAATTAAAAACAAAAAATAGGTAGGGCGCATTTCCTGTCATCTAATGCCCCTATTCACCTAGCAGTAAGTAGGTACCCAGGAGGTAGTCAGCTTGTTATGGGGTTTCA